ACCACGTGCAGGGAACAGAGCATCCTGGGCCCTGCTTCTCAGGGCAGTGCCTTACCTGGAGATCAGGTGGAGAATCTTGTCTGATTGCCTCACCACCTAGGTCCAGAGGCTTTCCCTGGGGGGAATCAAGGCCCCCAGCTGTGCTGGAGCTCTGGGCTTGCCACGCCCCCAAGGCTCCATCAACCAGTCCTGGAGCCGAGCTGCCACAAAGGGCATCTCGCCTGAGAGTTCTCTGTCTCGTGCCCATGCAGGTGTGTAGATAGGTGCGTGTTCTGGGAGCCCCGTGGCCCTTGGCGCTCACAGCTGGTCTAGCCCTTTATTCTTGGATGGCTGGTGGTGGGGAGGGGTGGGGAATTGGGAGTGGTACTTTCCTTCTTGACCTGCCTTCCCCAGGTCTGTGTCCCAGCCAGAGATTTTTCTGCCTCAACCCCTTTCTCAAATCCTCTAACTGGTGCTGTGACCTCTGGAAACCGGAAAAAGAAGCCCGTGCCCCACCCCTCCCCAGGTCTGCAGCATGGCTGCCACTGTGCACCAGGCCCTGCTCAAGTCCCCGAGCTCTCTGCACCTGGGCAGCTTCCTGACGGGTGATGTCTTCTCGGCTGTCTGCCCAGACAGTGCTGACAGTGTCTGGAAAAGCTTTGCATCAGACACGCCCTGTGGGGAACCAGAGGGGAGTGGACAGGGTGTCCGGGGATGGGCAGTGGCAGCCAGCCTCCAAAGGTGGCCCCTGGTCTGGAGCGGTGGCCAACCCCCCAGCTCTCTGGGACCAAAGTGGGCTTTCTTCCTCTCTGTTTTTATGATGATGTGATTTATATAAGGGGCCATTTCACAAAGTTTGTGGGAAAATGGAACTAAAAGTTTATCTTATTTTGGCATCAAAAATCTTTTAAAATCCATGCCTATTTTCTTCATAGGATGCATTTTCCATGAACTTGCTGAAGTGACTGGGTACAGTCATGAGTGTTGACTTTGAGTGTAGGCTCGATTAGGCTTGACCAAGGGTAGGGTCCCTGCTGTTGTAGCTGTCTACAGCTGCTGTGGCAGTTGCTACAACTTAGTAGCTTAAAGTGACCAAATGTATTATGTCCCAGGTTCAGTGCCAGTCCTACGCAGCCAGCAGGGCTGGGTTCCTCCTGGAGGTGTCCAGACCCTTCTTGGTTTCTGGGGGCCATCTACCCACCTTAGCTCAAGGCCCCGTCCTCTGTCTTCAGGTTCAGCCACAGGAGGAGTCGGGTCCCTTGCATGCTGTGCCCCCCATACCTCCCGTTCCACTTGGAAGGACCCTGTGATTACAGGGACCCTTCTGAGCAGTCTGTGGTGGTGGTGGTTTAAGGTCAGGTCATGAGCAGCCCTCCTGTCTGCCTTGTCTCGGGACACACAGGTTCCAGGGCTGGACAGGAATGTCTGTGAGGGCACCAGGGTTTCATGTACCACTGTGTCTGTGGAACGGAGTCCAGTAGGGTCAGGGAGAGGAGCAGGCCCGTGGCCGGGTGGAAGCTGGAGGGCCATGGTCCTGGGTCCCTCAGGGGGCTCCTCTCTCCCTGCGAGAACTGCCCGTTAGTGGGGAGCTTGAGTGCACAGGTCCGGGTGCAGGGCTCTGCCTTCCCCACGTCTGCCATGCACCAAGCAGCAGAGAGGGCAGGTGAATGTCCCCACAGCCACAGTTGTGCCCAAGCCCCTCGCTGAGAACCCTGTCCCTCAGCCTCGCTTCCCTCCCTCGCCCACCCTTAGAGGAGGGCCGTGTCTTGATTCTTCACTTGCACTGCCCTCCCCCTGCTGTGTACTTCCGGCACCCGACAGAGTCTTGGGGTCCCTGGGGGAGGCCAGGCTGCCCTGTCGGGGCCGACCCCTGAGCCACACCTGGCTTGGTGCTCTGCGTGCTGGCACCTGGGCGTCCCGGCTGCCTTCTCCGTGGTTCATTCGGGTGTGTGAGGTGGCTGCTGCCTGCAGTCCCTTCCGTCTCCTGCAGGGGCATCATGGCCCTAAGGACACAGCAGGTTTTGTGTGACGCTGTGTGGGAAGCCTTGCCTGGGGCCCCGGGACCTCTCAGTGGTCAGTACATGTGGACTGCCTGCTGCTGTGACGGCTCATCCGGCCTCTGTGATCACCAGGAGGTGCTGTTGTCGTGCCCATTTTGTAGATGAGGACGCTCGTGTATCAGAGACTGTCCCTTTCCAAGGTGACACTGGCCAGTAGTAAGTGGTCGAGCTGAAGCTGCAGCCCCAGCGCCTCACAGGCCAGCCTTCAGGGTGGTGGTCTGAGAAACACAAAACAGTGCAGTGGAGGGGGTGGGAGGAGTGGTGGTGCCGAGCACTTGGCCTGCACCCCGGGGGCCCTTTCTCAGCGGTTCAGAGGCTGACAGCTTGGCTGTGGTCACAGGGTGTTCAGACCCAGGCGGTCAGGGGGACTGCTGCCTGTGGACCCCTCTGTAAAGAGCAGTGTCCGTCACTGGGGACAGCGGTCAGGTTCCTCCTATCCATCTGAGCAGCATAACCAATAGGCCCCTCCTGTCAGCTTGTGCGGCGCTGGGTGCCACACACAGCCTCCCTGACGGCCCCTTCCCAGCCTTCAGTCCCCACCCTCTCGGATTCCGGTTTTCCAGGCCCAGCCTTGTCTTCCGGACCAGCTGTGCACTCTGATTTTATCGAGTGTGTTCTTGATAGAGCTGTTTCATCTCTTTTGAGTGAGCGACTGAGGCCTGGCTCAGGTGGTGCACAATAATCTCCCGGCCACGGCAGGAGCACATGTGGGGCCCCAACTGTGTCCACTGACATCCCTTGGTGACGCAGCTGACCCTCAGGAGGTGTGGCTCACAGCAGGCTGTCCCAAGCGCTGCCCTGCAGCTGTAGCGAGTAGCCCATCCCTCCCCTCTGGGCTGTGGGTGAGGTGTTGCCTGGCTCGTCTTGGTGGAAAATTTGGTCACCGTACTTTGGCAGCTGTAGGTCTCAGGTTCTTCTCCATTTGCCCCATTGTGTTTGTCTGTTAGTCTCTCGTATTTGAGTGACTTCCCAGATTTAGTTTCTTTGGGGGTTTACTTCTGTCACACCCACTGAAGAGAAGGCTCTGGTCGGGGGAATCTGTTGGGAGGGGCCGTGAAGGTTGGGCTACAGTCGGTCTCCTGTCAAAGAGCCACGGAGGGCTTCTGTCTGTGGGGCCTCCCAGGTGCTTGGGGCAGCTCTAAACTGGACAGGAGAGGAGCCTACCTTCCCAGGGCAGCCACACGAAGCACTGGTGTCCCAGGGGCCTTCACTGCTGTGAGGAGAGGACAGCAAGGCACATGAGGACAAGAGTTAGCTTAGGGAGCAGCTTTAGGGGTGGCCTCCCTGAAGCAGTGACCACAGGGCTGACACCACAGATAGCAGCCCCCTCTTCCCATGGGAAGAGCCAGAAATGGCCCGGGGAGCAGGCGGTGGCACTAAGTGTCGGTCACTAGGTAGATCAGGATGAGTATTGAGTACTGTGACTTTTATTCATGGAGCGTCCAGTTTCATGAGCAGGGGGTCTGGGCCCCTCTCTGTTCATGAACCATTGTGTCTCTGTAGCTCGTGAAGTGGATCCAGCTCATGTCAGATGCACAAGGAATGGTGGGTGGGTAGATAGGTGGGTGGATTGATGGGTAAGTTGGTGGATGCATAAATGGATAGGTGGGTGGGTGGATGGTGGATAGGTAGATGGTAGATGGGTAGGTGGATGGATATTAGAAAACTTAAAAGGGAATGAAAGGCGGGCAGGGGCAGTGGAGGACCCTCGAGGCTTGAGCTTGGCTCCAGAGTGGGCGTCTCTGAGGACTCAGTGAGACCCAGAATGACGAGGCAAGTCATGGGAGGTGGTGCTGGTGTGTGGCAGTGGCTGGAGGGAGGAGGTTGGATCTTGGGAGCACAGGTGGGAAGGACAGCTCCTGTGTTGTATGTAAGAAAGACTGAGACCCAGGGGAATGGCATGACCAAGAAAAGCCTGGTGGACGCCCAGAGCAGTGTTAGGTGGGTAGCTTAGGGGCCCTGGCTGGCAGAGGGCCGGGGAACGAGGCCCACATTGGTGGCCGGAAATGGGGGACCTGAGGGCCGCTGAATCAGGCGGTGGAGGTGTGTGGTGGGTAGTCTGGGTGGAGGGCTTTCTGGGATGGAAGCCTTGTCCTGCCTTCTGCAGGGGAAGGGCTGTCTTTGCAAAGAGCAGATGTGAAACGGGAGGTGGAGATACCTCCTGTGGAGCTCTGTTGTACTCTGGAGAGGATCACATTATATTTGTATGTAAATAATCCACAACAGCATGTTGTTTGCAAGGGGTGCAAAGCAAACCCTCTTGAGGAAAGTTGAGACACCATATTGTGTTTCCCCATCAACACTGTGTACTGCCGTTTGTGAAGGGTCCAGAAACAAATTCGCACGCAAGAGGCGAGCTCCCTGTTGGTTTTGAGCTGCTCCGTCTCACCATTCCTTACCTGTCCCTTTCGGGCTCATTTGCAAACACCCCTTTTCACGAGGATGTTAGGGTCCCGCCAGCTCAGGGTCATCCATGCCCACTCGAGCTCTGTGATAGTCGTGTGACTGCCTGAACGCTTTTCGCCTGGCTGTGGATGCATCCTCCCGCACTGTTCCTGAACCTTGCTGGGGCAGATGGCCTGTCTGCGTCCCCTCTGTCTGTCCCAGGACTCAGCTGGGTGCATAGATGCCCTTGAACAAGTGGCTGGCCCTGTGGCAGTCACAGAAACACTCCCATTTTCATCGTTGGCGGGGTTGTGTGTCGCGTGTACAGTGTGGCAGGGGGCCGAGTCTGCCCAGCACACGGTGGCCATGTGTGTGTGACCACCCGCTCCGTGGGGACACCTCCAGCATCAGGACCTGGAGATGCATGGTGTGTGTGGAGCAGCTTTCAGCCATGGTCTGAACATAGGTGTGGGTGGGTTGTGGGCTGGCTGGGTTCTCTTTGTGCTTTTGGGGCCGTGAGTGGGGCTTGGTGCCTGGCCTTGCTCTCCGTGCTGAGATTCTCTGGTTTCCTCCCAGCATTCTTTTTTCTGCCGGTTGACTGAAGATAAGAAGTCGGAGAAGTTCTTCAAGGTCTTTTACGACAGGATGAAAGTGGCCCAGCAGGAAATCAAGGCGACTGTGACGGTGAACACCAGTGACCTGGGGAACAAGAAGAAAGACGACGAGGTGGACAGGGATGCCCCGTCTCGGAAGAAAGGTGAGCGCTCTTCTGTGGCTTCCAGATGCCCACGCTGCTTCTCACCCTGGCCCCAAGGAGAGGAGTACCTCCCTGGCTTGGTGGGATTCTCACTGAGGCCCTGTGCTGCAGAGCCATGGCACCTTCTTCTGGGCCAAGCTTGAGGGTCCACCCAGAGTCTGGTCCTGCGGCTCCCATTTCGTGTCAGAGGAAGCTGGCCCCTGTCAGGTGACCTCCCTGTACCATGTGAGATATTTGGGAGTTGTCACAGCTTCCTGTCTGTAGTCTCCCTGGAAGTCAAGTCAGCCAAGGCCAAGGGTGTGGCCAGGCCCAAGGGGCTGGAGTGAGAAGGCCAAAAGTGTGTTGATTGACATCTGGGAACCTGAACCCCACTGGTCCAGTTGGGGACTCGGCTTCTCTGCCATAGCACCAGTGACACCTGGAGGCTGCCGTGTTGCCAGATGTGTCCTGTGCAGCACACGTGGCCTCGTTCCCCAGCCCAGGTTGTCGGCATGCAGTGCAACTGTGCCCTGGCTGGGGTTGGGGGACATCACCCCTGGTCTAGAGTGGAGTGACAAGAAGGAAGACGAGGGAAGAGGGTGTCTGCATGCCCTAGGTGCCTGCTGTGGGATGCCCCTTACTGTTACCCCACTGCATAGCTGAGCCAGGTGAGGCTCACAGATGGGGATGCACTTGCTCAGGGCCCAAGGGAGCTGGTGTTGGAACCCAGCCAGTCTTCTCTGCTCACCCTCAGGCCATGATTAGCTTCTGGGGCTAGTCTGACGATTGGGTGAAATACTACACACCAAGTTCTAGGTCACGGTGCCGTGGCACCTGGGAAAGGGTTAATCAGTGGTGATACTGTAACAGCAGTTATTGTTGTGATGAGCAGGCTTTGGAGCCTCACAGGGACTTTGTCTAGGCAGAATTCACTTGTCCCATTGCGCAGGTGAGGAAGCTGAGGCCCAGAGCCTTAGCGTTGTGAGGATGACAGGACTTGTGTGCAGGCTGAGATCAGTGTTAAAACTGGGAGCCAGGAGTCCAGGCCCGACGCACAGTGTTAGTGCTGTCCAGGGACTGAGGGAGGCCCTAACTTCACGGAGTGTTTGCCGGCTGGAGGGTCTGTAGTGAGCATGGGGTCTCGGGTTGCTGACCGTCCTGAGGACACAGCTGCACCTGCCGTCCCACACTTGCCTTGCAGCCAAGGAGCCCTCAACCCAGATCACGGAGGAGGTGCGGGATCAGCTCTTGGAGGCGTCCGCTGCCACCAGGAAGGCCTTCTCCACGTTCAGGAGGGAGGCTGACCCAGACGACCACTATCAGCCGGGCGAGGGCGCACAGGCCACGGCCGACAAGACCAAGGATGAGCTGGAGATGAGCGCTGTCATCACCATCATGCAGCCCATCCTCCGCTTCCTGCAGCTGCTGTGTGAAAACCACAACCGAGACCTGCAGGTGAGATGGGCGGGGCAATCAGGCCTTCCCCCACCCCCTCCCACTTCCCCTCCTCTTCACCCCTCCCTCCAATCATTGTCCCACTGTCTCCACAGGGCTAGAGAGGGACCCTGAGTCTCCCCCACCTGCTCTGTGTGCAAGGGGACTTCAGAAAGTTCACAGAAAACTTAATTTAAATATAGGTTCATTTTGGTAAAAAATGTTTTGACGTCCGTGCATAGTTTTTCAGTAATACACATTGCCATGAACTTGGTGGAGACCCCTTGTGTATTTGCTTAGTATGCGTGGGAACGCGGGAACGTGTGCACGTGTGTCTGGTGATCTGCCACAGTTTGGCATCTGGGTTCTCGGATTAAAGTTGGATGGGTGACGGAGGGCCAAGTAAGCAAGTGCGTCAGCTAGGTGAGATTGACAAAACCTCGGGCATGGAAAGTTCTGGTGGCAGCACTCTGCTGCGTTGCGGGTTGTAGCACAACCTGGGGGAGGGCTGGGTCAGGGACACGATGCGCACACGGTGACGGACTCGACTCATGACGTCCTTGTTGCTCAGGGCTGTGTGGCTACTTCCAGTGTGTCATGCAAACGGGTGCTCAGATCTTTGACGGACTGACTGCTCCAGATACCTTGTGCTCATTTTGTTGTTGGTTCTGGGTGGCCGCAGTGGCCAAGTGTCATCAGGCAGGTAGATGGTCTCAACCAGCGAGGGGTGTGGTGGGGCCGTGAGGCAGTCAGGCATTGGGAGCGATACTGTCAACGTCAGTCTCGGAGGGTCCTTCCTCTTCTGCTCCTCCCCTGAGTGTTCCTCCCCAACCCTAGTGTGCGCAGGCCCGACCAGCCGTCTTGCCATGGGAGCTGCAGCAAGCTAGACGTGCCTGGGAAGCCCTCTGGCTCCTGTGGCCGTTAGGAAGAGTCACACGCTCCATCTCCCACTTCGGCCTGGACCTGATGATGGCTGTTAAGTGCAGGGACTTAGGTTAAGTTGTGGGGGGAAGGGATGTTTATTTGATGATGTGTTGGGTGTTCAACTCAGTTGTCAGTTACAGATACTTTAATTGTGCCAAGAATACAGGAGTGTGTCCTTTTTCCAAAGGTTTCAGTGAAAGCAAGTTTTCAGTGACAGGAGCTTCTTTGCACAGAGAGCTGTGCTGCTCTGGACTGCATCTGTCAGTCCTCTTCTGTGCCTTTGGATGGGAGCGTGTGGCGGACACTCTTGTGTTCTTTGCCTTTTCTTTACTTGACCCTGGAGCGGGTTATGCTGGGACACAGGAATGGATGTGGAGCTTCCCGTCGGTGCTCTTAATGCTGGCGGCTCCCGTGTTTAGTGCACTGCCGGTGGGCCTTTAGGCTGATTCCTGTCCCCCACCGTTGCACAGTGAACAGTGAGCTCCAGCACATGCTCTGTGAGTGGATGCAAGTGTTTCCTAGAAGTGGGGTGAACAGGTCCACCCCTTGTATAACAGTGAGATGAAGAATGACCATGTTCCTCAAATTATGTTTGTGAAATGCATGAAGTTTGCATACCTGAAATAGAAGGTTTTGGGGGGAAAAAAGAAAAAGAGTATTGTGGTAAATTGTTGCTTGTTTTTGAGAATTGATGCTGGAATCTGCCAAAAACCTGTTCGCTGCAGTTCACTGTTTGGTGAGGCAGTGAGCCTGCTCTCCCTGCTTTGTTGAGGACGTGCCTTGCTTCTGCACCCCCCATCGGCATCCTCCGTACCTGGAAGACACATCCTTGGAAATGCACGCACAAGCACACACTCGCACACTCCTCTTGCCCCTCACCTTAGTGTGGAAACAGGTTCCCTCCAGGCCCTGGGCTGTCGCCAGCCTGTTACACCCTTTGCAGGAGAACTGTCTCCAACTCACCGTCCAGACCACACAGTCGTCTCTTTAGCATGCTCTCTACCCTTGGCAGTGTCACATGCCTCTGAACTTAACCCCTGAAGGGAGAGCAGTATGCAGGAGCAGGGGCGGGGTAAGGAGTGAGTGGAGAAACGAGAACTCCGGAAGTGTCTTGGTGTCTGGGGTCAGTCCTGAAGGAGAGGAGCTGCTTCCCCTGAAAAGCAGCTGGAGACCCCCTAGAGAGCAGGCCCGGATGCTGATGGCCACCGCCGCAGCCCAAGGCCTCGGGTTGGTGACACTGGAGGGCCGTGCTGCACCAGCTACGTGGGGACTGCCAGCACAGTGAGTGAGTGACTGCCCTCCTTCCCTCTGTCTTTCTCCCCCACCTGGGCGCTGTCCACCTGCAGAACTTCCTCCGTTGCCAGAGCAACAAGACCAACTACAATCTGGTGTGCGAGACCCTGCAGTTCCTGGACTGCATCTGCGGAAGCACTACGGGAGGTCTGGGGCTCCTCGGCCTGTACATCAACGAGAAGAACGTGGCCCTCATCAACCAGACCCTGGAGAGTCTGACCGAGTACTGCCAGGGGCCGTGCCACGAGAACCAGGTACTCACACGTGGAAGAAGGGTGGTGTTTCGGGATGTCGTTGGCAGAGACTGCTTCAGAGGCCACGTGCTCTCTGTCCGTCAGGAGTCAGTGGAACCGGGGGGGGCCTCTGTGCAGCAGTCGAGAAGGTGCTTGGCACGCTGAGACTTCAGGGGTCAGCCTCGGTCTCTCCGCGTGGCCTGCACTGGTTTGGTTTGGTTTAATTTAGTTTCATCGTCCTCCAGTAACCGGCCTGTGGGGGGGGGAGGGTGTGTGTGTGTGATAAGGTGGGAGCCAAATAAGAACCTGGAGACTGATCTCTTAAATGCTAGAAAAGATTGAAGAACTGGCTGCCTGAGAGGGCTTGAACGTAGCTGAGGAGAGAAAGGAGTCACTGCCACGAGGCTACTGGAAGTCACAGGGGAACACTGAGCTGAGGTCTGAGTACCCGGCCTCCAGGAGAGAAAGCCCAGGTAGCTTTGAGGCGGGCTCTCGAGGGGTGCCGTGGATCCTCACTCAGGCATCTCTGTTCCTGAGCAGGCATGGCTGAGTCAAGGAGTCAGGGACTGAGTCTGGGCACTGGTGTTAGGGATTTTGACTCCAGATGTGGCTTCTTCCTGGCTGGAGCGGGCTGGGCAAGGCTTGAAGTGGTCAGTCTAGACCCAGTGGGCAGAGGCCAGGGCAGGTGGAGCTGCTGTGGCCCTTGGGGAGCTGGGACCTCCTCTGGGGGATCAGTGGTGGTGAGGACCAAGCCCCCAGTACTCCAGATCCTGCTGGCTCTCGTCTGTAGCTGCAGGCAGGGTGTCGTCTTAGCTGTGCTTTCTCGCTGTGTCCCTGATGGAGTGCGTGGTGTCAGCCTAATGCAGATGGACAGAAATGGGGCGGGCTTGGGAGAAAGGCTTTATTTGACGCGTAAGTGAATTCCCTTATTTCCTCAGGTTTGCATTTCTGCCCGACAGGCCTGCTCAGGGGAGTGGGCTGAGTGGACGGTGCTACGAGTAGGAGCCCTGCGTGGGGGGAGCGATTAACTTTGATATTGTGTGCATTAAACAGGAAACTGGCAAAAGTACCAGATATGAAAAACGAGTGCTGAGGGGAGAATGGAACACACTTTCAGAGGGGGCTGCCCAGAATCTGGTGTACACCATGACCCCGTGTTCCTTAAGAACAAAGGCCAGCAGCCCGCGCTGTGTGGATTAGACACGACCATTTGATCAGTTCCAGTGCATGGGGACTTTCCTGCTATTTACTGTTAATTCTGAAACCAGAGATCTTCATCTGTCTTATTTTTACCACTTTCTCACGGAAAATCTGCAGCTCCCCCCTGAGACATGACTGGGAGCGGCGAGCCTGGTGTTGAAATCGCCCCGCAGCCTGCTGGTCTTTGACGTGTGATTTACGACCGTGTCTCTGTCACTCTCTGTGTTTGCTCAGAACTGCATCGCCACCCATGAGTCCAATGGCATCGACATCATCACCGCCCTCATCCTCAACGACATCAACCCTCTGGGGAAGAAGAGGATGGACCTGGTGCTGGAGCTGAAGGCAAGTGGCAGGAGGGCAAGACTGCGCGCGGCAGTGCGCACTTCTGCACTTTGCCCCCAGCGCGCCACGGCCAGTGTTGTGAAACAGAGCAGCAGAGGTGGTGTCTGTCCAGCAGAATGCGTGGTCCAGTGCGAGTCTCCCTCCCAAACAAGGGCCCTGTGAGACGGTCAGGTCGCGTGGAACGCAGTCGCATTGCCCAGGCTGGGGAACAGCGGCAGACAGTGCGCAGAAGCTGGAAGCCACGGGCAGAGAAGCAGTGGAATCTCCTATCCGTCTGAGCCACCTGAGAAAGGGGCAGTTAGTGGACTGGACCAGCGAGCCTCTAGAGGAAGCATGTTTGCACTGGATCAGGCCAGCGCTCGTTCTCCCCTCTCACTGACTGAGCAGACGTGCCAGTCTGTAGAGTGAGTGTAACGCAAGATGTCCGCTGACAGAGGATGTGCTACAGGCCCTTCTGGTTTTCTGTAATTGTGTTCAATGGTAGATGCTTGATAAGGAAGCACCAGTGGTGTTCTCACTCCCTGATGAATCCCACAGTGGTTTGTAGGTGTTAAGAGTGGTGACCCAAGGGCGTCAGCCTCCCGGGTGTGTGGGAAGCCGATTCGCCGTTCCTGGCAGTGACAGGTTACCTGTGCCCAAGAGTGCCCCTGTGTCGAGGGCTTCCATAGGCTCTCTAAGAATCCAAAGATTGTGTTCTGAGAATTGAACTCGCAGCCCAAGCTGGTATCTCAAGGACATTTCCAAATGAGACAGCCTTACTGAACATATGTCTTCTGTAACCATCCCCGCACGGGGCGTTTTGCAGTCTGGCCCCTGTCAGGCCTGTGTGTGGTGTGAAAGAGCCTAGACCTGCAGAGTCTCCTGGCAAAGCCACTCTGTATTCATTGCATTGAGAGCCTCAGAGGGAAGAAAGACCTTTAGGGGAGGTGGTGACCCAGGTCCCAAGGGCATGCCACACTCACTGGTTTTTATGTTAGTATTTAACACTGGAGGTCCAAACTAAGATGATTTGAGAGTGGTTCAAATGGAATTTTTGTTAATGTCTATTTTTCATTTATTTGAAAGGGAGAGTTAAAGAATGAGCGAGATCTTCCATCTGTTGGTTCACTCCCCAAATGGCCACAACAGCTGAGGCTGTGCCAAGCTCAAACCAGGAGCCCAGAGCTTCTTCCGGGTGCTTTCCCAGGCACATTAGCAGGGAGATGGATCAGAAGTGGAGCAGCCAGGACTCGATCAGGCACCCATATGAGATGGCAGCAGCATGAGCTGCAGCTAAAGCTGCTGCCCCACAACGCCAGCCCCAAGATGGAACTTTGTGTTTCACTATTTTTTTTGAAAGATTTTATTTATTGCGAGGTAGAGTTTACAGAGAGAGGGAGAGACAGAGAAAAAGGTCTTCCATTCACTGGTTCATTCCCAAATGGCCGCGATGGCCAGAGCTGGACTGAGCGGGAGCTGGGCTGTACTTCCAGGTGTTCCACATGGGTGCAGTAGCCCAAGCACTTGGACCATCTTCTGCTTTCCCAGGTTACAGCAGAGAGCTTGATAGGAAGAGGAACACCCAGGATGTGAACCAGTGCCCATACGGGGTACCAGCACCACAGGTAGAAGCTTAGCCCACTGAGCCACAGCGCCAGCCCAGTGTTTCTCTATTTTTGACTCCTTTTGGCAAGTTTTGGTTTAACTCGACTTGATCACAGCTTATATGCCTGACTGACATTTAGCAGAGTACCTGGTGAGCCTCTGAGGCCGGTGAGAATGGCCTGGGTGCCTGCATCCGCGTTTCAGTGCCCTTCTGCAGTAATCTCTGGGTTGTGGCAGAGGTGTCTGCCCTGTGATGGGCAGCTCCCTGACCCAACTGCTGTGACCAGGCTTACGGAGGGAGGGGAAACCCCCCCACTCCCAGCAAGGAAAAAAAATACCACCAGCTTTTGAGTGCTGCACAGAAAGACAGACATTATCGTAGCCCAGGACTCAGCGAGGCCAAGCCAAGAAGTCCAGGGTGTGGATACGTCGCCGTTTCAAATGTCGTGAGAAATGACGGCTTGGCAGGCGTCCCTGCCAGGGGACTCATGAGTTAACTGCCCCCAGCTGTGCCCTCACAGCGGCTGTAGGAGGTGAGAGTGCAGAGCCGTGGGTTATGACCAGGAGGAATTGCCTGCAGCGCGTATGTCCTCAGCCTGCAAGGCCAAGTGCCCGTGTGTGACCACACCCACCACAAGACGTTGTGGGTTGGTACAGCAGGGTCATCGTGGGGTCATCATCACAGCACTCTCCAGATCCTGGGCTCCACAACCCGACTGAGCCAACCGTGTATCAGAAATACTTGGGAAGGAAATCATTTCTGTGCTGGACCTGTGCAGACTTCTTGTCACTATTCCCTGAACAGTGCACCTCGACAACTGATTGCATAGCGTTAAGTCTTCCAGAGAGTGTATGGGAGGCTGTGGGCAGTGACTGCGGGCAACTGCTAAGCAGATACCAAGGGGTGAGGGGACCCGCAAGGTGCCTGTTCTTCCGTCTGACTTCCGCCAGGGCTCACTGTGGCTCACAGCGCGGCGTAATGTGTATGCCTCTGCAGATAATGCACACATGTGTCCTGGGTCAGAAGCGCCTGATTCTCTGGGTACAGATAGCTTTTGATGGGCTTGGCCCATGGCTGATGTCCCCGTGTGTCCACCAGGCCAGTGCATTGATCAGGATCAGCTGTCCGTTCCACTCCTCCATGTGCTTTCCCTTTGCTTTTCCGATTAGAACAACGCTTCCAAGCTGCTCCTGGCCATCATGGAGAGCAGGCATGACAGCGAGAACGCCGAGAGGATCCTTTACAACATGCGGCCCAAGGAGCTGGTGAGTGGAGGGATCCCTGGTGGCGGCCCCACGCGGGCTCCCAGCTGCAGGTCTGCTGCCTTGAGCTGCCTGAAAGGGTCCCCATGTCAGAAGTGTGATGAGAGCGTTGAGTCAGGCCTTGCCAGGGAGAGAAGAGCAGGACAGCACAAGACCACAAGTGCAGCTCCCCTCCCTCATGGTCCCCCATCTGGGAGCCTAGCAGACCCAGGTTCACGGCCACAGCTCTGCCCCTTTTGGCCGTGTTGCTTTGGGCAGGTACTGGTGCCTGTGAACCATCGTAGAGAGCTGGTGAGCTCCCCGGTCCAGACGAGACGCGTGTGCAGCCCTTAGAGCCATGCCCAGTGTGTGTGCGACCTGCAGCAAAGGAGGCGCCTTCCATTCGTGCCCAGTCGTGGCTGGGTTTCTGCTGTTGTTGGAGAGGACTTGGCTCTGTGCCAGCAGTCTGGGCCCTGGAAGCACGTGCCTTGGAGGCTGGGGTGTGTTCTCTTGATTTGGGGAGTCATTTGTAGAGAAAGCCTGATCTCATGTGTTCTTAAGGGGTGACATTCACAGTCAGTGGCAGTGCTGCTAGCTGTGAGATCAGCCACTCAGCGACAGGGCCACCAGGCGAAGGCAGAGCCCTCGCCAGCTCCCCTTTCCCCTCGGCAATAAACCGTAAACCGTCACTGAGACTGAAGTGAGGGCAGTAAAGCGTGGTTGCCTCCTGGTGACCTGAGTGTGCCCTTGGGGCTGGGCTAAAGTCCTTTTATGAATCACTTTAAATAACGTGAACAGCAGCCTGGACTTGGATCCCCGAGGTCAGGGCAGGTGCGCAGGCGGCGATGGGCGTCCTCACCAAGGTTATGTAACTGCCTGCATACTGGGTGGCCCAGTCAGCGGGGCTGTGGTTCTCCAGTGTGGACAGAGGAACTTTGCAGGGGCCTGTGTCTGGGTTCCAGGAGTGAGACCAAGCTCCCGCTCTCCTGCCTTGGGTGTAGGGCAGCCAGCAGCTGACAGTCTGGCCAGACCCGGCTCCCAGGGTGCCCTCTGGATCAGACACGATCTCTGGCTCACTGGAAGAGTCAAAGCTACCTGGAACAGATGTGGTTCTGAGAGCCCAAGTGGCTGAGAAGTTCTGATACCAGAATGCATGTGTGTACAGGTGTATGTGTCTGTGTGCAGGCCTCCATGTGTGTGCCCTGGCCCCGCCTCCTGTTCTGGAGGAACCTGGCAGGGAAAGGCCAGCAAGTGAGGCCCTGTCTGCACACCTGTTTCCAGGGCCATCCCTGTGTCAGCACAGGCGTGTGTGGTGTGGTCTGCAATGACAAGAAGTCACTGCAAGTCACGGCCTTGTGCAAGGCAGGAGGCCCGAATGCCTCCCAGATCATCAGAAAGGACTCATTTCTAATAGAACATAGAGGGCAAAGGTACTTTCTTCTTGGAGCAGTCAAATCTGAATGGTTCCTTTGTGAGCACTGGCCATGCTGTGGGGCACTGCACCTGGTGCTAGGGCAGGGTTCGGGTGTGACAGTCTCCGCCCCTCTCTCAGGGCTGCAGTGAGTGGCAGGAGGTCAGAACAGGAGGTGAGCCACAGGCCTGGCTGCTCAGGGCAAAGCCATGTCTGTGTGGGATGAGGAGCCAGGGTCAAACCCCAGCCCTGTTGCCGTGACTTCAGGTGTGTCCTTGTGTCTCTCTGTGTCCTCATCCCTGAAAGGTGGGGGTTGTCTGAGGCGTGTGTTAAGGTGTGGCTAAGCCTGGGGCTTCTCACAGGAGAGCTGCCTGGTACTGCTCTCGCTCAGGCTGCTGTTGCTTGTAGTGTGGGCCTTGGGGCCCAGGGGAGAGTCTGGAAGCAGAAAATAGTTTGCCCAGCTGTTCCTTACAGCTAAGCAGTTTCTTATTGGTCTTCCCTGAGATGGCCAGAGTTGGAAGTGGGGTGAGTGGGTGGAAGCAAAGGCAGAGACAGGAAAAGGCCAGCTTCCGGCCTACTTTGGTGTCATGATTTTTTGAAGACACTTTTTCAGCCAATGCTCCCTTCTAAGGTACAAGGTATGAGCCGGCCCCAGGAAGTCTGTTGGTCCAGGCAGAGCACACGGGGTTCTGTCATGCTGTTGGGGAGGCTAGGCTGATGGGTACTTACTGCCCGCGGCAGTGTTGGGCAGGATTCTGAGACAGCAGGAAAAGAGGGAGAAGATCTGCCCCAGCTGGGGAGGCTGCCAGCCTGGGAGCTGAAGGTGCCGTCCTTTTGGGTCTCCCCGAGTCAAGAATACTGTTCTGGGCCCTTCCTGCAGGTGGAGGTGATCAAGAAGGCCTACATGCAAGGCGAAGTGGAATTTGAAGACGGAGAGAACGGCGAGGATGGGGCCGCCTCCCCAAGGAACGTGGGGCACAACATCTACATCCTGGCTCATCAGGTGTGGCCCCACCCCCACCCTGCCACCCCCCAAACACACACACACGGTGCCTTCCTGCTGTGCAGAGTGGGGTGCAGCATCTACATTGTGTCTGTGCTGGCAGCAGCCTTGCCTGAGAGCTGTCCTGGGCTCTGAGAGGGGCTCCCGGGAGCTCCTGGCAGCAGGACCCAGCGTGCTGAGGCCCAGGACTTCTCCACCCCCCGCCGAGACGGGGCCACAGCCTTGGAAATGCCCGTGCTCATTAAAGGCACCCGCTGTGGAGCAGTGACCTCCGACCCTTCATGCGTTTGGAGACACTTGCAGGGAGCCCGGGCTCCTCGTGAATGTGGGTGAAACGTAGGGACTTGTCCTTATGCCGCCCTGTCATTTGCCGTACGCCAGATGGTGAGGCTCTCTGTCGTGCCATGGCACTCCTGTGCTCTGTTTCATCACTCTCTTCCGCGGTGCTGGCGTTTTGAAGGTACTTCTTCTCTTTGCAGGCCAGTGTGCCTTGAGCTGTTTGGGCAGGTGGGCAGGTGTAACCTGCTAGGGGCTTGGGTTCCTGTCCGTTTGCCTTTTTGAACCTGGGGAGAGGAGTGAGGTCTGTGATGACGATCGTGTTGGTGGGCCCCTGCTGCGCATGCTGGCTGAAGGACCTATGCCCTCTCCCTGGCAGCAGCCCTCAGAACGGGTGTCTGCGCATTCCAGCAGAGGTTCCGTAGGGCTGTACAGGAAGCCCCATCTCCCGCCTGTGTGACTGAGGAAATTGAAGGGAGGCAGGACCTCAGTGGGCCTGAGCTTCCCCCTCCCCACCCCAGGCTCCCCAAATAGCCCATGTGCACAGTACCCTCCAGCGGCAGGTTGCAGGCCTCCTGGGCCTGTGGAGTTAGACAGGAGTGTGTACTCTGCTGGGAGAGGCCTTGACCGCTGTGATCCTGCCCTTGTGTTGCAGTTGGCGCGACACAACAAGGAACTGCAGAGCATGCTGAAGCCTGGCGGCCAGGTGGACGGCGATGAGGCGCTGGAGTTTTACGCCAAGCACACGGCACAGATAGAGGTGAAGGCAGAGCCGGCTCTGGGTGCGGGGCTGCGTTGAGGCCTTTGGGGTGTCCAGTGCCGGGGCTGGTACATTTGCATTTGTTTGTATGATCACCCCATGCCCCATGTGAAGTGCTGGCGGGTAGGGAGGGGCAAGGCTAGAGAGTGAGTGGGCGGCATGGTGGGAGGGGCAGGCAGGGGCCCTGGCTGTGGGAGCAGCACAGTGTGCAGAAAGGAGCTGCTCAGACCTGGGGAGTAACGGGAATGCCCGGGGGCGGGGGGGGCGCTGGAGCAAGGCCCGGGGCAGGGGTCCCTGAAGAAGAAGGAGAGCTGTGGGACAGCAGAGAGGAGATGAGTAGCCCAGAGCCCGAGTGAGCTGCCTCCCCTCCCCCTGCCCTGCCCCTCCGGAGGTCTAGAATTCAAGGAGCAGCAGGGAGCTCCTGGGAGCGCTGTGATCACACCCGTATTTTAAACAGAACGAGGACACACGGACTGAATGAACGCAGCTGCAGCGGGGCTCAGGAAGGCTGGATCCTTGTCCCGTTGTCAGTGCGGAGCTGGCTTGCTGGTTCTGTCCGTCTGGCCCCAGAACGTGGGCACATTTTGCATCACCTGCATCGGCACTTGGCAAGTCTCAAAGGTCCTGTCCGGGCTGCAGGCTGTAAGGGCGATGTGCCGTAGTTTGGTAATGAGGACATGCACAAATTTAATCTTGGTCCTTCAGACTCGGAAGGACTGACACACTCCCCTGGACAGTGTAAAATGTTCAGTATGGAGCTCTTTTGGAAGTCTGCTCTCAGCCCGTGTCTCAGGTCCCTGGACAGAGTACCTCACTTCAGCGGCTGTCAGCCCTGACAGTGCGTGTGAGCAAATGGTGTGTTGTCAGCCGTGCCAGGGTGTGGGAGAAGCTGTACTGGTACGTGTGAGGAGACGGTCCCGTGGCTTATTGTTGCCTGGAAGCCGGGCCCAGGGGCTGGCTGTGTGCCCAGGAGGCCGTAAAGAGCGGTGTGAGGTGCCTGGGGCAGTATGTCTGGGAGACATGGAGGATTGGTGGTCGTTGGCTGAGCTGCTGGGCTCACAGGAGAAGGCTGCAGCTCAGCCAGGCGGAGGCAGGGGTGAGGAACCTCTCTTGTGCCAGGGCCCATTCAGATATTTGTAACTGCTCCGGAGTGACTGTATTTTGAGTCCCTCCTGCTTGCCTTGGCAGGACCGGACCGCATGACTTCATGGGCCCTCCAAGGAGGCTAGAACCCGCTGGAGCATGCGGGCCTCGTGTCCACCTGCCTCTTGTGCGTCCTCGTCACGTCCCCTCAGCTGAGGCTGGGTTACGGAGCAGGAGCGGTCTGATAACTCTGGCCAGGCTTGGGAGCCCCTCAGCTAAAGTCCACGCCCCTCAGGCCTTCTGGAGCCCGGGCTGTGGGAGCCTGTGGCACCTCTGGGACAGCCTCCCGCAGTGGGACCCGTCACAGCTCTGGGTACATCAGGGAGCAGGGTGTCAGGAGGGCAAGCACCAGCTCATCTGCCGGCCTGGGCCTCAGCTACTTTCCTGACTGTGGGGAGGGAGGTCAGTGAGAGACCCTCCACGGTGCTGTGGCTGCAGCCCTCCTGAGATCCCTGAGACCAGCACAGGCTGCCCGAGTTAGAGCAGGTGGACCAGCCGGGTGCAGAGAACACCTGTCTGCTGTCCCCCGGGCCCAGCCCAGCGGGTTGAAGAGCAGCAGGTGGGACCCAGAAGGGGCAGACAGTCGTAGGTGGGGATTGCTGAGGCTGTGGTCAGAGGCGGGGGGTGGCAAGGGGTTGTTACCAGGATTCTTCTCTTCACAGAGGACCTCGGGTGAGGCTTGGCACACCCCTGCAAGGTACATCCCAGCCGTTAGCCGCGTGTGGCTATTCAGTTAAAGTTAAATAAGTATTCCTTTGCTTGGATGAAGTAGCCTCCTGCACTGGTGCTCAGTGGCTGTCCCCTGGGCAGGGCAGAGCAGAGCCATCCTGTCGTGGCAGGAAGTTCTGTTGGACCACGCCAGCTTGTCTAAGTATGGGCACAGGCTCTGTGTGCGTAGTTCCAAGGGTAGCGTTTAGCCTGGCGGTTAGACACCCACTTGCTGCATCAGAGTACCTGGGTTTGAGTCCCAGCTGTGACTCCTGACCCCAACCCCCTCCAGTGCGTATCCTGAGGCAGTGGGTGATGGTTCTTTCACTCGATCACTGCCACCCATGTGATAGACCTGTATTTCTGGCTTCTGGCCCCATCCCAGCCCCTGCAAGCATTTGGGGAGTTAAACAAGGAATGGGACTGTTCTGCATCTGTCTTTGTCTCTCAAATGAAAAATAATTTTTTAAAAAAATTTTAGGCAGTTGAAAAAATTAAGAAACACGTGGACCAGCACCATGCTTTGAATAAATGTAGGTGGCACAGAGCCTGCTGAGGTTAAAAACCTGAGGAGCTATTTTTCTAGCCGATCTCACACACCTCGCGCATGCTTGCAGCCAGTAACCCCAGTGACAGGTGTGTTCGTCTCGTCCTTCCCCCTCAGATCGTGCGGCTGGACCGAACCATGGAGCAGATCGTGTTCCCCGTGCCCAGCATCTGCGAGTTCCTGACCAAGGAGTCCAAGCTGCGCATCTACTACACCACCGAGAGAGACGAGCAGGGCAGCAAGATCAACGACTTCTTCCTGCGCTCCGAGGACCTCTTCAACGAGATGAACTGGCAGAAGAAGCTGAGAGGTGGGCGGGCCCGGGAGCAGGAGCGGGCTGCCGGGGATCCTGCTCGCGCCTGCCTCTGACCACCAGGAAGTCCAGAGGCTCAGGTGGCCCAGCAGGGGGCTGCAGCCTGGGCGTGGGGCTCCCCGGGCTCAGCGTGGATGGGCAGCTGCCTGCAAGCTGCCGGTGCCTCTCTTGAGGTCTTGGTGTAGAAAATAACAATGGGGAGGGGACCCGACAGGCCTGCGCGTGAGCCGAGGTCAGGAGCTCAGAGGCGCTGGCTCACCCTCCCTCGGGAGCTTGGATTGGAGCCCCTGGGTAGTTTGACAGGTGACAGGCTTGCGGGCCAAGTGAGATGCTCACGGCTCACTGGGGACATCTGGGCTGGGATCCTCGTTTTGAGCATGTGTGGAGCTGCCTCGCTCTGGTTTCTGTTGGGGTTTCGAGGTGACCCTTCACCCCCACAGGGCGCTGGGCACCACCCCCACGAAAGGACCCAACTCTGTTTCCATCTGCCCACCAGGGGCCCTGGCTTGCAGCTCACGTGTGAGCCCTGGACTGTGGATGGCTGGGGCTCATCTGTCTTCTCTCCAGTCCCTGCTGGTCTGCGTCAGCCTGGACCAGCCTCCCCATCTGTGTTTCTGCTCTACTTCCCCCACCTCTCTGCACCTCCAGATTCACCAGTGGCAGAGAAGTTGTGCACACCCCTGTGCACTGACTCCGTTCTCACTCTTCTCTGAGGGGTGCCTTTAAAATACTCTGACACATCCGGTGGGACCAAAGCCATCCTCCCCAGCTCCGTGTCTGGTGACTGCCCGAGGGCCAGGGCACCTTCAGCAGGTGCAGGCTCTTGCCTTGCACTCAGGCACTGTACGCCCAGCAGTCAGTGTGTCCCTGGGCCTCCCGTGGATCTGGAGGAGGGTCCTCCAGCTCAGCCATCGTGTTGAGCACTGGGACTCTGGCCCAGTGCTCTGCTTGGGCAGTAAGAGAAGACACGCCGGCTCCCTTCATAATCCCGTGTCCTGGTGTCCAGTTGCACAGGGGGGAACTTAGTGGTAGCTTCGGTCCTTCCCTAGAGTGCTCTGTCCCTGCAGCAGTGGGGGGTAACCCTGAATCCAGGTGTCCCATGCTCCGTGACAAGCAACTGATTTTTGTCCTGACTGGCATCTGACATTGATGAGCTTAGCTTGTTCTCTCAGAATGGTGTTCTAAGGTACATTAGTAGCGTGTGGTTTTTATAGCTTCTCCAAAAGGCTTATGAATCAACACAGCGGTTCCGCCTCTGCCAGGAGGAGACGGATCCTCACAGCTCTTCCTGGGAGGTGGGCACCTCGGCCCCAGGGTGAGCTCTGCGTCCGCGCCCGGTGACTACGCTGCTCCCAGATCCTGCCTGTCAGGCGGGCACTTGGATGAGCCGGCGGCAGGCGGGCGGTTCCGGGAGGGCCGTCTCCTTACTCCAAGCCTCACGTTGCCTTGCCGCTGACTCCTTCCCTGCCTGTGGCCTTGGCTTTCTCAGCAGGTTTGTGTTTCAGCGAAGCCTAAGCACAACCATAATTGTCAACCAGGGGGTTTTAATTGGCTTCAGAGCTGTCTGCTGGAAGAAGGGAAATTGAAAATAACAGAATTAAGTATGATTTGCATATTTAGGAAAGGGAGAAATGTACTCGTTAGAAGTGCGATTGAAGTGAAATGCATTTTTCTCCAGTAAGTAGCTTACTTCTCTGCTAATAAGTCTGCTGGAAAGATTCTCTGGCTTCTTCGTATGGCTGCTTTCCCCTTTCCCCCAGTTTATCAGAGTGGTGGTCACCTTTAAACCCGTAGTTAGGACTCAGGCACAGAGTGGGGTCTCTGGCAGGTGCTTTCTTGTGCAAATTTTAGAGCACCCAGTTCCTCTGCTTCCACATGCCCCCTTCCCTGCTCTGCCTGCACAGCATGCACACACACGCACAGGCACGCACACACACCTGTGTTGTACACCTGCTCTCTGATACCCTGCAGCCCCTGTGAAGTGAGCACTTGGGACTAGGAAAATGGAAGGCAGTGAAAGACGACAACCAGGCCGAGATGCCTGCGAAGAGCCCCCTCTGATGCCTCCCTGCCCCAGGGTTTTCTGTCATGGTTTTCACACTGATAGGAATAGAACTGGGAAATTCTGTTTCTGTAGATGTGTGTGCTGAGCCGCTGAAGTCACTGGCAAGCCCCAGTTCCTTTAAGGTAAAGGAGAGCTATGCAGGAGTTCACCAAGAGCTGCCTGGCACTGCTGCCTGTCCAGGCTGGTGATACTCCCGTCTCTGGGCTACAGTGTTCCGGGTATGTTGTCCCAGCCAGCTCTCAGCCCCTGGCAAGTAGGAAACACACAACCGGATACGGTGGGGAGTTGAGCAGTGCGTGGGCAGTGGCTCCCTTCCAAAGGAACTTCCATCCAAGGAGGGCAGACGGCACAGCCCAGCAGTGATCGCCAGGGCCGTGATGCAGCAGTGGCTACATTCATGAGTGGGGGAGGGGAGGCTCAGAGGAAAAGCAGGATGCATCGCCCAGAAGGACCACTAGGACTTCAAAGACACAGCCTGATAGGTCAGGCAGGGCAGGCAAAGCCCTTTCCCATTGCATCTGCACCAAGTCACCACAAGCCTGCAACTGATGACAAAGGAAACCGGTCAGCTTCCTGCTCTGGAGGTCGGAAGTCTGAGCAGGTTCTTGTCCACTGCAGTCAAGGTGCACGTGGGGCTGCGTCTTGAAGGCGCCAGCCTTTCCCAGGCTCTTCAGACCTGGGCATCCCTTGGCTCCTGGCCCTTCCTCTGTCCTCGGCCCCAGGCGTGCCCAGGGAAGACTTTGTCCTGCTTACCCCTAGCTCCCGTCATTCCATCAGCACCCTCCCCTAATAATTCCAGGAGAGTCTCTCCATCTCCATGTGCTTGGTTCATCCCACACACACGTGAAGCAGCACATTCATGGGTTCTGGGGCTGGGAAGTGGACGTCTTGTCTGGGGTGGTAGTGGGAAGCAGGGAGGGACTTATTTCTGCCTATCAGAGGCTGTGTTAGTGGCTTTCTGTCACTTAGTAACAAGTAACCTGGTGGGTTAAAATAAGCAGTACTTTCTCACAGTTTCTAGAGGTCAGGAATTGGGCGATAGGTTGGCCAGGTGGCTGTGGGTCAGGATCTTTGTTGGCACACGGTCTTGGAGCATGCCTCGCTTGGTGCTCACACAGGGCAGCTGTCAGGGGCCTCTGTCCCTCTGCTGTGGGCATCTGTGTGGTCCTCTCAGGTGACTTTGTAGCATGGCATGGACTGATTCAAGGGAGAGGGCAAGGCGGAAGCCACGGTCCTTCTGTGACCTGGCCTGGAAGCAGGCCCCCACATCTGCTGTGGTGTTTGCCGGAGGCGAGTGATCAAGTCCAGCCCACACTGGAGAGGAAAAGGAGTGAGCCGTTCTCTGGCAGGAGGAGTAGCAGAGACTTGGTGGGCAGATTTGTAAGTCCCCAGAGGGAGCATGTGCAGCCTGGAGACTGCGGGTGTGTGCGGGCAGCAGCAGAGTGTGTGGCCAGGGTGTGGGAGCACAGGGCAAAGATAGGTGGCTACCTCACCCCCCGGGCTGCGGGAGATGAGCGGCTCGACTCCTCTTGCACCCGACCCGGGTGGAGGTGGGTGCCGGCTTCCCCGTGCCCTTGCTGTGCAAGCAGACGGTGGCCTCGTGTAAAGGGTTGCTCTGAGTCCTTGCCCCTGTTGGAGTGCTTCATGCCGCTGTTTGGAGGATGCTCTGGTACTTGGTATTGAGAGGCCCCTCTGTCAAGGATGCTGGCTTCCGCAGAGCACCCCGCGCTTTTCCAACTCCTGCTGCTGTTTGTGTTTCCCTGCCTCTTCTTGTGAGCCTTTGTGTACATACCAGTGTGCGCCTGCCCGGCGGTGTCCATGAACCAGTGTGCCTGTACCCTGCTGTGTGCATGCCAGTTCTGTCCGTGCCCGGCTATGTCCATACCTGGCTGTAGCTGTACCCAGCTGTGTCCATGAACCAGTGTGCCTGTACCCTGCTGTGTGCATGCCAGTTCTGTCCGTGCCCAGCTGTGTCTATACCTGGCTGTAGCTGTACCCAGCTGTGTCCATGCCCGGCTGTGTCCGTGCCCTGCTGTGTCCGTGCCCGGCTGTGTCCGTGCCCAGCTGTGTCCTTACCTGGCTATGTCCATGCACTGTTGTGGAGAGGGTGCTTCAGGTTTTTTGGCTTCAGCAGTGGTCACCTGTCCAGCAGTTGTGTCTCCTGTCTGCTCTGGAGTTTCCTACCCAGATCAGATGTGGCCTACATCCCAGAAGAGATGGCAGCACTTGTGTCCGGAGATGATTTGCCACCTTCCGTTTGCCTCGGCAGTCACTTCCCCAGGTGCACTGTTCTGTTGAGTCTCTTGTAGAGCTGTGACGTGAGTCACTTGGCCTTATCTCTGCCACCGACCCCAGCAGGTCACTCACTGCAGAACTCAGGTCATCGCGGCCACTGCCCTTGGCTGGGCCTCACTCTGCCTCATCATAGGAGGGATTTTCAACTAGAGGACTGCTCAGAGCTCTGACACTGTACTCTCTGGGAGCATTGCCTGTCACCCAGCGCAGACATGATGCAAGGAATCATTCAGTTACCCAGGGTTCTGCTTATAGTACTGTATCTTGGTGTTGGATGGAAGCTTCTGGAAGCTTGGCTGCTGCTCCAGGCATTGCTGTGGATCTGATTCGGCCATGGCTGCAGTCCTGAAGTTTAATAGTGACTCACAGGAAGAAGAGAGGCACAACAGAGCCATGGCCTCGCATGCTCAGGCTTCTCTCTGGAGGGAGGTGTCATGGCGTGAGGCTGTCTCGTGGTGACGGCCACTTGCGTGGTCGTGGAAGTTACCCTGTCCCTCCCACCCGTGAGCGTCAGCCTGAGCATCAGGCGCCCTGTGTCCACAAGTGCAGCAGCTCACCCTCCTGGGTTCCCGTCCCCAAGCCCTTTAGGGAGCAGCGGTGACCAGACGCAGGCAGAGGCGTCGCAGTCTCGCTTTGCGAGCTCATGCAACGGTCTGGGCAGGAGGCAGCGTCCGTCCTGGGGCACGGCACAGCAAGGCCAGCTCCAAGTGCTGGGTCCCCCACTGCCCACACTTCTAAAATCCTGGCTGAATTCTTGGGCCCCCGGGCGTCTCCTCTGGCCCTAGAGAGAACCTCGGGGGAAACTGAGGCCTCTGAGCTGAAGTCCAGACGAGTCCCCGGCTCCAGGGCTGGCAGTGCTGACTGGGGCCCGCGGGCTTCCCCCTTCTCTGCTTCCTTGACCCTGTGCCCTGCTGCGTGCCCAGACAGAAGTGTGCCGGTGTTTTCTCTGCGGTGGTGGGCGTGGGGGCGGGTCAGACCTCACCCTGCTGTCCCCACAGCCCAGCCCGTGCTGTACTGGTGTGCACGCAACATGTCCTTCTGGAGCAGCATCTCCTTCAACCTGGCCGTGCTCATGAACCTGCTGGTGGCCTTCTTCTACCCGTTCAGAGGCGTGCGAGGAGGTGAGGAGTGCGAGGAGGTACCGCTTCCTTCGTTCCGGGGGGGGGGGGCGGCTCGGAGCCGCGGGGAGGCGGTCGCGTGCACGGGACGTTCAGAGGTTTCGTCTCCAGTGCTGCTGAAAGTGAGAGGACTGTTCATCGGGTGGAGCTGGGCGTGTCTCTCTCCTGTGTTCTTTATAGGCCTTCACTGTTTCCCTGCTGGACGGTGGTCTTTATCTTTTATTGGTTGAACTCTTTATTTAGCAGTCATTAAGCCTTTCCCTATCATGTAAATTATGTTGAAAAAAGACGCTGGAACCCAGCACATAGTAAGCACTCAATAAATGTTAGCATTAAGAAGCATAGGTTTTGGCCGGCTCCGCGGCTCACTAGGCTAATCCTCCGCCTGCGGTGCCAGCACCCTGGGTTCTAGTCCTAGTTGGGGCGCCGGATTCTGTCCCGGTTGCCCCTCTTCCAGTCCAGCTCTGCTGTGGCCTGGGAGTGCAGTGGAGGATGGCCCAAGTGCTTGGGCCCTGCACCCACATGGGAGACCAGGAGAAGCACCTGGCTCCTGGCTTCCGATCAGCGCAGCATGCCGGCCGCAATGTGCCGGCCGTAGCGGCCACTTTGGGGGTGAACCAACGGAAAAGGAAGACCTCTCTCTCTGCCTCTCTCTCACACAGTCCACTTTGCCTATTAAAAAAAAAAAAAAAAAGCATAGGTTTTGTATCCACATGGGCTGTGCACGTGGCCTGTGAGGAATCATCTGTTAGCACCGTGGTTTTCTCCACTGGGAGGTGACGTCCCGGAGAGGTTGAGAAGCCCAGCCAGGGTCACACACTTCTGAAGCATGAGGATTTTTATATTCCTCCAGCACAGTTGAGAACTCAGTTTCAGCCTAGAATTGCAGGAAGTGTCTGGAGCACGTGCACATTTCTGTTTCCTCCAGGGCTTGGAGGGGAGGCGGGAGTGAGACGGCACACTGTGCATCCTGATTTGGTGAGCCTGTCCCTGGCCACTGCCGTCACGCACAGGCCGGCGTGGGAGGTCCCCGGCCTGTGTGGGCTCCCTCGCCCACTACCTCTTCCTGCTGTCCATCGGAGCCTTACGCTGTGCTAGTAAAGGCGGGTGGGCGGCAGGGGCTCAGTCTCGTCGGTGGCAGACTGGAGCTGTCACTTTTCTGGGGCTCTGGTGCCAGACGTTGAAAAAGCTCCTGCCAACGTGCATGACCTCTTTTCTGGGAGGTAGACTTTTTTTAAGACTTATTTTACAGAGAGAGAAGGAGAGACAGAGAGGTAAGGGCCCAGCTACATGGGTCATCTGCTGCCTTCCCAGGCACGTTAGCAGGGAGCTGATCAGAAGTGGAGCAGCCGGGACTTGAACCGGCACCCACTGGGATGTCAGCATCACATGGGTCGACTTTTCAGCTGAATGTGAAGTTTTCCTCGGGACCTTGGGCAGAGCCCGTGTGTGTGTGTGTGTGTGTGTGTGTGTGTGATGGGAGAGCCCAGAAATAAGACATAGAACCAGCGCCCGAGCCTGAGCAGGCACCTGTGGCCATAGCCACGCGTTGCAGGGCCAGCTCGGACATGGTGGCATGTGGGATCGCCCAGCTAAGACTTGCTCATTTAAGGAGCTGGATTTCTGTCTGGCCTGAAGTTACGGCGCAGATACCGTTTGAGTGATGTTTTCCTTCCCAAAGCACGACCTCAACCCAAGCCCAGAAGGGAATTTTCTCACAGACACCTGGTCAGGGGTCACAGCCCTGTGTATGAGGACGGTGAACCAGAAGGCAAGGTCTCCCCCGAGGGACATCAGCCTGACCCAGGCTGCCGGTCAGCACTGGTGTAAGCCGTGTGGAGCCCCTGATGAACTCAGGCGGCTGGGACAGTGGCCGGCTCTACCTTCATCATGGAGAATGTCAGGCTCTTCACGGCTGCTGATTGGACCACTGGCCTCTGATGGCTCTTACTCCCATTTCTTTAAACATATTTCAGATAGGTGCATATTCCTCCCCTTGACCATCTCCTTTAGGGGTCACATGTGGCAGTGTCCAGGAACAAGCTTCAGGCAGGGAGACCTCTTAAGAAGTGCAGGGGTTTGGTGCTCAGGCCCAGTGCTGCCCCTCCTTGGCCCTGTGACCTTGGGCAGGTCATCCCAGTGTTCGTGCCTGTGTGTGAAGCGATGCTGAAATCGAGCCAATGGCTATGAGACCTCGGTCTGGCTTCAGAGATGCCTGCAGGGCCTGGGGGTCAGTAGTAGCGGTCCTTGCCGGGATCCCTGAAGTGTCCTGTTTCTTGCCCTTGGAAGTGTGACTCCCACTGCATGGGATGCCTGTCTACAGGCCTTCCACCACCACTCCCCCCTTTTTTTTCCTTAGGATTTTATTATGTCTATGAAAGAGAGAAATCTTGCATCTAGGTCAGTCCCCAAGTAGCAGCAATGGCTGTGGGCCCGGTGGAAGCCAAGAGCCAGGCACTCCATTTGGGTCTCTCCCGTGGGTGCCAGGGGTCATCTCCTGCTGCTCTCCCAGGTACCGGCTCACAGGCCACAGCTTAACCTGCTGTGCCACAGTGCTGGCGCCATCCCTTCCCCTCTGAAAGGGTGAGTTCTGAATGTGCCAGTAGCTCTGACTTCTCCCTAGAAGCCAAAGCTTCTGGTTTTGGAACCATGGTCCTTAGCACCTTGCACTGGTGGACTATGTGAGAAGTGTGGTGAGATCGGAGGGGAGGCAGGTAGAGTCCCTTTCGTTGCCAAGTGGCCAAAACAGCCCAGACACGGCAGTTCCCCCTCGGGGACTTTGGTTCTTTGTAAGAAGTGCTGAGGGCCTTCCCTGGAACCAGCGCTGGCCACCTTCGGGAGAGGGTGTGAGATCTAGCTTGTTGACAGGAGGTTTTTCTTGGGGATCAGTATTTGTCAGCATTTGTTGCAGCCTGAAGATGGGACTTACAAAATGTTCCTCTTGAATGTGTGTAATGACCTTGTTACGTGTGCCAGTGTGATTTTGTGGCTTACAGAGTTTGTGGCTGCCCAGAACACGGTGGCCTTAAAAGCTCCTTTCCAAGGGCCCATTCTCCCCTCCCCCTTATGTTTATTTCAGAGTGAGGAGTCCCAGTCTTTGAAAAGCGTGACAGTTGGGCACCTACGCATTGCTTGCTGTGAGCATGTTCTGATGATTGAAGTAAATAGTGGTACTTTGTGAACTTGCTTGTTACTGACATTTTCACACAGATAGGCAAGAAACCACAGCCTAGGTAACTGGCCCATATCTGCCAGTCCAGCTTTGACAGCGGTCATTCTGCTGGTATTGTTCTATCCATTCCTCTGCTTTGTTTTCTGAAGCATTTTAAAGTCTAGACATCTTGTTGTTTTGTCCATAAATATTTCAGCATGCCTCTCTCACTTATAAGCATACTTTAAAATATGTGTGATCACCATACCATTATCATAGCTCTAACAAAACTAACAGCAAGTCTTGTAATAGTCTGTCCAAATTCAGATGTCTCCAACTGTCTGAAAGATGTTGTTCAAGAGTTGTTTTTCTGAAATCTAGCACTTTTTTTCACACTGTTTTTGTGGTGGGGAAAAGGCTTGGTTTTATGGTAGCCTTTTCAGAATTTGAGGTCATTGCTTCTACTCATCACATTTGTTATCCTGAGTTCTTTTTTTTTTTTAAGATTTATTTATTTACTTTAAAGAGTTATACAGAGAAGGGGAGAGAGAGAGAGAGAGAGAGATATCTTCCATCCACTGGGTTACTCCCCAAATGACCACAACAGCCAGAGCTGGGCCAATCCGAAGCCAGGAGCCACAGCCTGGGAGAAGGTGTTTACAAAAGTTATTTGAAAGGCTTATATCCAGGATATATAAAGAATACTTACAACTCATTAATAAAAAGACTGCCCTATTAAAACAGTGGACAGAATGCATGATCCAAAGTTCATGAAAGAAGATACATAAAAAGATGTTCATAGTCACTGATTGTCAGGGAAACAGAAATTAAAAACACAATGACCATCCCACTACACACATGCTAGAATGGCTAAAATGGGACAGACTGACAGCACCAAGTAGTGGTGACAGTGTGAGCAAGTGGACTCCAATGGGAAGGCGCCGGGAACGCAGTGTGCTTGGGGTCCCACCCTCTGCGTCCACATACTTTCCACAAGAGTTGAAAGCATCTGTCTACCCCAAGATTTGTACCTAACTGTTCTAGTAGCTTTCCTCGTAATAGCTCCAGGCTGGACAGGACTTTGTTGTGCGCTGTTGGCTGGATAAAGCGTACCCCGTCCATATGATGGGGCTCACCTCAACAGTGAAGCCAGTGAAATACCAGTGCATGCACCAACTTGGGGTCTGGCCAGGGGAGAGAAGGCAAGTACGAAGACCACCTCCTAATATGGGGGTGTCCTCCATTTTGATGAAGTCCTAGGAGATGCAGGGAACAGATCATTGACTTGTGTTGGGGATCAGGGAAGGGTGGGGTAGGGACCAGACATAACTGTGAACAGGCACAAGGAACGCAGTCGTCACTATCTCGATGTGGTGATAACTGCAGTGGTTGGTGGTTGCACAGTTGTACTAACTGCTGAAGTTCACCAAGCTGTGCCATTAAAAAGGGTGGTCAAGAAACACTGGCTTCAGGAACATAGGCCCTCCAGCCATTCACAGTGTCATCGTGGGCCAGAGAAGGAAGTGGAGACTCTGAGCCCTTCAGAGCGAGATGGAGAGGACAGGGCCAGCCTGGTAGGCAGTTGGCAGTTGAGAGGTTTAGATAAATGACAGCCAACACAGAGAAGGCCCTGTGATGGCTCACGCTCGCTCAATGCCTGCAGGGACTGATGTGTGCCCCCAGGATCCACTTGCAGGATTTCTGAGGAGCTTCTGCCTCTTTGTGTCCGTGTCTCGTCAACTTTCCCCTTGGAGGGTGTTGGAAAAGTAACAGTTTGGGGCAATGGTTGTTGATGAGAAAATAAGTCCTGATTGGCATGGACAGAGTGAGCCAGAGTGGCTACAGGAGGAGCTGAACAGCTGGGCTGGCCTTGGGGCTGGCGCTGGGTCCCTGCGGTTCGGAGGAAGTGGACCCTGTGCAAGTGGCCTTGGCCACGGCCTGCCACTTGTTTACACCTGCAGGAGGCTCACTGTGTGATCACATTTGCAATCCGGGCTATTTTTTTTAATGAATGTTTTACAGAACTGTATTTTTAGCCATGTTGGTTCATATTATGTAACTGAGCTGTCTTGTGGGATGTTCTAAATAGAATTTGCAAGAGCAGGAGATGACAAAACCGGTACAAGTTCTGTGTCTCCCAGGATAATCCAATTGTAGGACGATGCTCATGACAGGGAAGTTGCTTCCTCCTTCCCTTGAGGAGACTCGAGGCAGGCAGGGGCCTTGCAGTGTTGTTCTGTGTACTTCTAATAGAAGCTGAGTTGAGGCTTCTGCATCGCCGCTCCGAAGGGTGAAGAGTGGTGCACAAATGGGTTTTAGTTCTTGAGCCAGCACCTGTGAGTGCCTCCTGGGCACCAGGCACTTCCCTAGGGGAATTTCCTTGGGGAGGAGAGAGAAAACTGACACTTAGAAAAGAGTGTTTGTCAGGCCAGCATTTGGCGCGGTGGCCAAGGTGCTACTTGGGATCCCTGCATCCCGTATCGGGGTGCCTGGTTCTAAGTCCTGCTCTGCAGGTGCCCCCATGCTAGTGGTGTGGACCCGCAGAGGGTTCCAGTGGTTGGATTCCTCCCACCCTGGGGGAGACCCAGATTGAGTTCCAGCATCCTCACTTGAGCTTCCTGGGTTACAGGCATTTGGAAGATCTTTGTCTCTGACTTGCTAAGAAAAAATTAATATAAAAGCTTGTTTTTAAAAAGAGAAGGAAGATACTTGGGCTACAAGTATACACACAGACACACACACATTCTAAGTACACAGTGTTCTGTAGGGATGACCAGAATCTGAGGGGACCATGGAGAAGGAGGGAGCGCCTGGCAGCCCCTCGTGAGCAGGAGGAGGGGAGACCTAAGCCCTAGGAGGTGTGGCAAGGAGAGATGGATTCCCCCAGGCAGAAGGAGGCATGGAAGTCAGAGCACAAGAGTGGCGCTGGACTGTGCCTGGGGCAGAGGACTTGAAATGACAGTCGGAACTGGGGAGATACGAGGAAGCCTGCCCTGGTCTGCTGTCCACCCTCAGTGGAGTCTGGTCCATGAGCCCCCTGCCTTGTCCCTTCAGGAACGCTGGAGCCGCACTGGTCGGGCCTCCTGTGGACGGCCATGCTCCTGTCCCTGGCCATCGTCATCGCCCTCCCCAAGCCCCACGGCATCCGCGCCTTAATCGCCTCCACAATCCTACGGCTGATATTCTCGGTCGGGCTGCAGCCCACGTTGTTTCTGCTGGGAGCCTTCAACGTGAGTATGCCATCTCCATGGACACGTTTCTGTCGGCTTCTGTTCCGTCACCTTGCACTCTGCTCCTGGAAGCTTTGCCCAGGGCTTTTGTTGAGAACACCATGTGGGTAAGGCTGTTAGAACGGCAGGAGCGGGAGACTGCTGCAGGTGCAGACCTCCCTCGTGACCCCCTCCGGGGGCAGGGAGCCTGCTCAGGCCTCCTTGGAGCATCCGCAGTCTCGGAGTGAAGGCACAGCCCTCCTAGCAGGTGCATGGGAAGGAGGACAGAGTGAAGGCTTGCTGCCTTTCTTCCGGCTCAAAGGATTGTTGGAACGAGAGACTGTAGCCATCAGTGAGGTGATCAGAGGGTAGCAGCACCCACCTCTGGCAGGGGTCGCGTCTGTTCAGACACAGAGATGGAGCAGGGGGCATGGGAAGGAGAGGTTCAGAGAGGGTTCAGCGTGACAGCCCCGGGAAGTGCTGGTGTGTTGCTACAGTCACAGGCTGCACCCGCAGGATCTTGCTTAGAAGGGGGCTGCCTGAAATGGGACCCTGCCTGGGAAGGAAGGAGGAACTGGGACAGGCGAGGCCCTGTGGGCGTCAAGAGTGCTCTCTGAGGCTTCCGCTCCGGGCAGGTGAGGAAGCTGCATGCAGAGGGAAGTGATTTTTCAAAAGAGGCTTGGTGTGCTGATCCTGTGCAGCAGAAAGCAGCCTCAAATGGCAGTGGTCGCAAGGCCTTCAGGGAACCAGAAGCCAAACCAGGGGGTGGGCACGGGGCGGGGCAGGGCCAGGAGCAGAGGAGCCTGCTGATTGCTGTCTGTGGCCCCATCGGCCAGAGCAGCGGAGCCCAGGACATGAACAGGAGACCTGCAGAGCTGAGTTCTGCCTCTGTGCTGCGCTCCAGGCCCATGCACAGCTCCGGGGCGCTGGGTTCTGCACCCTCCGGGTCTGTGTGTCTACAGAGCGTTCCAAGTTAAGACAGGGTGCCGTGGTTCAGTCAGTGTGGGAGTTTGGCTTAGACAGAATGGATTTCCCAGACTGAATGCATGGACGTGACTCCTCAAGCTTCCAGAGAGAACCAGTGTGTTGGTGCTTCTCCATCAGGACAGGGGTGGCGTGGAAGAAAGGCTAAGAAACTATTTCCAGGAGCGGGAGGGGCCTGACGTGTTTGAGCCAAGCAGTGATTTATCCAAAGAAGCATTCTGGAGGTTTGCTCAGCCCGGCACACAGTGTGGATTCAGGTGGGAGGGACTGGAGGCGAGGAGTGCCCTGAGGCTGCAGTGGAGGAGTCGGGCCACGCCACACACTGTGCGGCGGGTGTAGGGTCGGAGCCTGAGCTTAGCAGGCTGCCGCATCGAGTGTCGCTGTCTTGACGGGGTGACGTAGGAGAACCCATGCAGCCAGGGACGGCAGTGCCACTAAAATGGAATCACGCCCAGACCCGGTCCTCAGGGGAAAATACACTGAATCTGTCGACTTAGGGGCTTGAGGTGATGAGACACACTGGCGCTTGGCAGTGCACGGCCGGATGCCCGTGTTGGGGAGGGGACGTGGTGTGGCTGCAGCAGGAGGGACGGGACACTGGGAGTGCCTCGGGACCTGAGCTGGTCTCCCGGAGACCGCCTGGATCTGGTGTGCCTGACCTTGAATCCTTCCACATTCGCCCTTTCCAGCTGATCTGGAAATACTGAGAGTGCACTCTCAATATTGAACTAGTTACAGTGTTGGGATAATTACCTGGAGAGAATAAAGAGGGGAGAAATGCCCCAGGAGCCAGGAGAGCAGCCAGGGACAGGCGGACAGGGTGTCAGTGGATTCGGAGCTGGGGAAGGAGGCACCCAGTGCCATGAGAGCTGTGAGGAGGACGGGGAGCTGGGCCCTGTCGTGCTGCCAGGAGCCAGGCAGACGCTCCAGGCAGGCGGGAGACATGCCACGGCCCTACCAGCTGTTTCTCTAGGCAGGAGAGGCTGGAAAGGCACGTCTGAGAGCAGCCGAATGTAGCCAGTAGGAAGTGGGGGAGCAGGCTGAGGCCTTAACCAGGGACGACTGCTGATGGAGCAGGGGAGGAGGTACAGGGGATGGGGGTCCAAGGGAAATGGGGTGCTCTCTTGCTAAGAGCAGGAGCCTGGGCGTGTGTGAGGCCCTGGAATGTCAGCCAGAGTGTGGTCCCCTACCTCTGCCCTCCCCGTGCACACGCAGTCAGCGATGCTTTGCTGTGCGCTTGTGGAGGGCAGGCCGAAGCTGGAGGAGGCTGGCAGATTGGGCGCTGAGCTGTTGGAGAAAGCCAGAAGGCCTTTGTGGTGTGGCCTCCTCGTCTGTGTGAGTGCAGGGAGCTCGGATACTGTGATGGCCCAGGTCCTGCAGCACAACTGTCCTGGCACTGGTGGCCGAGGGAGCTAGGGCAGCCACGTGTGATTTTAGCAGGTGTGTCCCTAGAGCCGTCTCCCTCCTTGTCCTCGTCTGAGTTTGCTGTCGTCCTGTCACTAGAGCTGGACTTGAGGCCTGGGTCTGCCACCTAGCCAGGGCAGTGCTATGCAGTGGATCCTTTGGGCTGCTCTGGTCACTGGGTCATGGTCACTGAGGTGTAGCTGAACCCAGGGACTCGGAGCGTGGCATCAGGACCTGGTTGCCTTCCTGGTCTCTCAGATGTGGCCTGTGTAGTGGAGGTGCCCGCGGGCCTGGGGCCATGTGGGGGCTGCCAGCCTCTCCAGAGCTTACCTCCTCTTGGGTTCAAGGGCAGGAGGGAGTGGAGAACAATGGCAGGATTCCCAGGGAGGAACCCAGTGGATCTCATTGGCTGCATTTGGTCACATGCCTACTGCTGCACCTGTCATTATGCTTAAAACAATGCAGCGTTGTGATTGGCCGGGCGGAGTCCCACCCAGCCTCCAGGACTGATCTCAGAAATGGTGGCTCCCTGAAGATAATATGGGAGAACAGAGCTCCTCCCGAAGTCCCTTGGCTTTTTTCCACCAAAGTTCCAGTTTTCCCTGTCAGCTTAGGAGCAAGACAGTTGTTGGCTGCGGCTCGTTAAACTGAAATCATTAACGATGCATAGAGGTTTGTGACCTTGCTGATCTCAGGGCTCCTGGATTGAGGTGACGTCTGTGTTTGACTAACTCATGTAAGAAGCTTGCAAATGATTCATGCCTCATATTGAAAATCCTAATCTTGCTACGTGTTAACTTTGTTTTGGCTGTCGACAAACACTGCTGATTGCTCTTGCCATGAGGTTATATGACTGCCCTGCCTTCAGTTCCATGCCTGAAAAGCAGAGTAGTGAAATGACTTAGACCCAAATGGTGGTTCTTAGTGGGCCTGCCAGGGCCTCCATGCAAAAGACAGCCTGTGTGTGTTTGACAGAAGCGCCCTTTGCACACTCAGTCTGCGCCCTTTGACCTCTCCTGTCATTGTTGTCAGGTCTGCAACAAAATCATCTTTCTCATGAGCTTTGTGGGCAACTGTGGCACGTTCACAAGAGGCTACCGCGCCATGGTGCTGGACGTGGAGTTCCTGTACCACCTGTTGTACCTGCTCATCTGTGCCATGGGGCTCTTTGTGCACGAATTCTTCTACAGCCTGCTGGTGAGTACCTGAGCCGGGATGTGTGCAGGTGCACAGCTGGCTTGTGCTGTGTGTGCCTACCCCAGGCCTTCTCTTCAGCGGGGATGGCATGCCTGGCCCTGCAAGATGGAGGCCCCACTCCCTCAGCCGTCAGAGGCTTGGAGAGGGAAGTGCAGGCAACAGGCCTGCCGCCGGCCTCCCGCAGGCCACACCGCATGCTGCCCGTCACCTCCCTCGCTGCAGGAGGACCCGCCCTTGGCCTGGCTCGCATACCCCTTCCCTTCATTTCATAGAGTCAGCCTCGCGTCCCCAGGGCAGTGCGTGGGGACCATCGTGTAACTGTCCTCACAGGGTTGCGTTCTCCGTGCACTCTTGCAGTGACTGACTGAGCCCCGGGACAGTGGGTGCAGTGGGGTTTCTGGTCCAGGAGACCTTTCCCGTGGAAGGTGTTGTGTTCCTCCGGAGCCAAGCGGTTTGGATGCTGAGGGTCCGTAGGGTGGGCTTTCTGCCTCCCCCTCCTAAGCAGGGGTGCTAGTTCCAGGTGCAGTGGCAGGTGTCCGGAGCGTGCAGGAGCCTCGGCCTGCGGAGCTGTAGATCAGAAACATTGGCTCGTACCCACAGAAAATGCAGGGAGCAGAGCCGACCTGTGTGCTAGCAGAAGCGTGAAAGACTGTGAACAGCAAAGCGTCCTGGAGGGTCAGGGACAATCAGGACTGGGAGTGTGGAAGAGGGATGAACACAAAAGGCAGGGCGGCGAAGGCTCTTGGGGAGGTGCTGTCCATGTGGATTCTGGACAGTTTACTTAACTGCCTCATGCCTCAGTTTCCCCATCTACAAAATGAGACAGGCGTATCCCCCCATGGGGCTGCTGTAGGAGCTACAAAGAGCTGTTAGGTCAGGGCCTCAGAGCTGTGTCCACTGTCCTCGTCTTCCTGTATTCCCTCCCCTGCCCGAGACAGTGTGAGGAGGTAGCCAGCATTCGCTCGTCCTTTTAGTGGTGAGTGTCACTGGGCTACGGGGACTCATTGTAGAATGGGTCTGGCTGTCCTTTGAGGTCAGGATTTACTTGGACTTGCCATTGTGTGGCCTGTTCTGGTCCCTGTGATCCCGTGTCCATGTCTGAGAGTTGTGGCACATGGTCATGTTCACAGTGCCGTGTCCTCCCTCAGCAGGGCTCAGGGGTTCTCTGTGCCCACTGCAGGGTGTCCATTCCGAAAGATCAGACAGCGCTGCCTCCCTGGTGGAGAGCTGGACTCGTGCTCAGTCTGCTCTCAGTCACTGCGGCGCCAGCCGAGGCAGGCGCCAGGGGCAGGGGAGCATGGTGATGAGCCTGCTCCCTGCCCTCCCCACCAGCACGGTCTGCAACACAGTGGTCACCCTTTCTCTTGGCTCCGTCTCCACCCCTCATGGCCCCCTTGGAGCTAAATGCCACCTTCCTGTCCACTGAGGAAGCTGGGACTCAGGTCATCCAGTCAGCGGTGGCCAAGCAGAAGGGCAACTCCCGTCCGAGGACATCTAAGCCTGGTGAAACCGCGACTCCCCGTGCAGCTCAGGTCCCTGCCCCCAGACCCCTCCCCGTGCCCAGAGAGGGAAGAGAACTCGCGGCCCAGGCACTCCCTGAGTGCACTTCACTTTTGGAGAACAGACAGGATCAGAACAGAGAACTGGTCCAGGTGGTGCCTAGATGCCCCTCGTGTGTGCTCCTGGGGTGTCTCCACCTTCGTGCCTGTCTGTGCAGTACTGAATATGGCTGGTGACAGCTGCAAAGTGGCCACAACGGCTGGGCCTGGGGCTGGGGCTGGGTCAGGCCAAAGCCAGGACCCTGGAACTCCATCCGAACTGCCCCTGTGGGTGGCAGGGGCCCTAGCTCTGTGGCCTCTTCCATTGCTTTCCCCAGGCACACTAGCAGGGAGCTGGATTGGAAGTGCAGCCACCAAGCCTTGAGTGCGTGCTCATGAGGGAGGCCGTGCCACGTCTCAGCCGTGACTTGCTGTGCCGTAATGCTGGGACTGTTCGTGGTGTCACTGTCAGGAATCACCGACCAGTGAAGTCTCTGGTTTGTAGTCATGGAGCACACGCACTTGGCCTTCGTAATCTGTGGTGGCTCTGAGTCCTGCTGCCTGTTGAGCTGCTGGAAAATTTTTAACCAACGATAACAGCCGTGCTTAGGCCTTTGTACTCTTTCCCCGACGCGTGGCTGCTCTTCACCCCCTCTGACGACCCCCCTCTACCCAGAGCCCTCCCAGTCCTGCTCAGCTTGATGTCAGGGTGGTGGGAAGTTAACTGAGGAGAGAATGACCTCAGATAGTAAAACGCGGACTCGGACCCACAGACAGCTGGCCCCGTCCACTCATTGTGGGGGTAAGGAAACCGGGCCCCGCAGTGGGCAGCTGGCTTCATCCCATCTCAGCAGATTCAGGGGTCAGGACCCAGCCTGTGGGAGAGGACTAGATGTCTTCCAGAAGCCAGGTTGCAGGCTAGCTTCCGAGGGGCAGATGGGCTCACTGCCCTGGCTTCATCGTTGCACAAGTCCTGCGTACTGATCCATAAAAATAGGGGTGGCCATTTAGCCTAGTGGTTAAGGCACCCGAGTCCCACATCCAAATGCCTGGGTTTGATTCCGGGCTCTGGCTCCTGAGTGCAGCTTCCCACCACTGCAGACGCTGGGAGGCAGCAGTGGTGACTGAGGTAGCTGGGGTGCTGACCACCACGTGGGAGACCTGCATTGAGTTTCCAATTGCTGGATCTTGGCTTTGGCCCTGGACCAGCCCTGGGTACTGAGGATGGGAGCACACATGTTCTTTCTCTTTCTCTTCCTCCTCCCCTCCCCCGCCCTGATAAATAAATAGTAATTACAATTTAAGAAAGTAAAAACCAGCCTCCAGGCCCGAGAGTGACCCCAGACAGCTCTCCCCCATTGCTCCTTACCATCCCCCGCCCCGGCAGAAATCTCACCCTGGGCCTGGAGCCCACCCCCTCCCTCCGCCCTGCTTCTTCCCCCAGGGAGCCTCCATGTGCCATGAAGCTAAGTGCTTGCAAAGAGCAGGTCCAGCAGAGGGCAAGCCCAGACTGTGGGCCTGATGGGGACTGCGGGGATCTCCCTTACTAGGGGAGGGGGCTAGGAGTTTGGGCTCCCTGGTGTGTCCACCACACAGGCCCCTGCTGTGTGCTAGTCATGTGCCCCTCCTGCCCAGTGTCTTCATCAGAAGTCGGTGGTGATGCCCACGGCACTAACACACAAGTGCCCCTCTGTATTCAGCCGTCTGTGCGTTTCTTCTTGATGAGTCTACAGGTGAGGAAATGGGCTGCGAGGGAGCAGGCAGCCCCGGCCCTGTCTCCAGAGCCTCTACAGCTGAGCTGTGACGCTCTGCCGAGTCTCTCTGGCTGGCGGGATGTCTGCCTTCCCCAGGAGAACTTGGGCTGTGGGAGCAGGCGCATGGCCCTTCACCGGCACTGGGTCGGCCTGTCCTCGGTGTGTGTGGGCAGAGACCCTGGCACCGCCTCTTCCTTTGGTCTCTGGAACTCGTCTGCCTGGTGGGGTCTCTCCCATCTCCAGGACCTGCAGGCTGCTGTGAGTGTTACCTGAAGTCGCGCCTGTGTCCTGCTCCCCCTCCCCTGTTTATATTTCTGATTTTTGCCAGACCTGTTTTCGCTGCTGGACAGGAAGCCGGGTGCCTCCTGGGTGACTCCCAGGAGGGCGGGCAGCCTGTCAACCGGCGGCTTGTTGTGTGGTACTGACGCGTATCAAATGAGAGGCATCTTAAAAACCACCTTGTCACCTTGTCGTCCTTCTGTTTCTAAAGCTCTTTGATTTAGTATACAGAGAAGAGACTTTGCTCAACGTCATCAAGAGTGTCACCCGCAATGGCCGCTCCATCATTCTGACGGCAGTGCTGGCTCTGATCCTGGTCTACCTGTTCTCCATTGTGGGCTACCTCTTCTTCAAGGATGACTTCATCCTGGAGGTAGACAGGTTACCCAACGAGACAGCTCTCCCAGGTGGGTATGCAATCTTGATTCTCCTGCTTTTCAAAGAGTATTTCCTGATTATGACGGAATTGAAGAAAATGGTGATGTTAGCAGTGTAGCCATTCCCCTGTTGTATTTCTTGTCACACATAGCACGCAGCGGCTGGGACCTGGTTCCCACTCGGTTCAGAGGGCAGTGCAGTGTATCAGAGGCTGAGGGCGAGTGGCCAGGTGTCCCATCCAGCTGGTCACTCATGGCTTTTTAAACTAGTGCCACTCAACTTTGTCACAGAGCAGGGGGACCATAAGTAGATACTGAAAGTGAGAGGAGTGTACATTGGTAAATCCACTCGCAGAAATGTAACCTTAAACACAGACTGCTGACTCTGCACGTGGAAACAGACATGTTTGGGAGGATGCGCATGGTGGGACGAAATTGGGAACAGTCTCCGTGTTGGGGGCTGTTCCACAGAGCGCGGTAATCCCACGGCATGGAGTGCCCAGTCTGGTGTGCATCTCCACAGACACGCATGCCGACCTACCCAGAAGGTGGAGTAGAATCACTGCAGTAGGGTCTTTAATCTGGATGGAGCCAGCGCTGCGATGCTGTGGGCAGAGCCAGCACTGGCAACGCTGGCGTCCCGTATCGGAGTGCTGGTTTGAGTTCTAGCTGCTCTGCTTCCAGTCCAGCCCCTGCTGATACGTTTGGGAAAGCAGTGGATGATGGCTCCTGCACATGGGCCCCTGCCACCCATGCGGGAGATCTGGATGGAGTTCCTGGATCCTGGCCTTGACCTGGCCCAGACCTGGGTATTGCGGCTGTTTGGGGAGTGAACCAGCAATGACAGATCCCTTTTTCTCTGTCCTGTATGTTTATGTGCCTGCCCCTCCCTCCCTCCCTCCCTCCCTCTCTCTCTCTCTCTCTCTATCTATCTATCTATCTATCTATATATATATATGGCTTTTTCAAATTCTCTGTCACTCTTTGAAATTAACACATCTTTAAAAATATGAATGAATATATCCCAAATTGCTGGCAGTGCTGTCTCTGGGGCTTGATTACAGGTACAGGTTTTACCGTGAGCTTCTGCCATGTGTACACAGAGCATGAGCAGAAGATGCTGGAGCCCCGAGGGGTGGTTAGGACGGCTGGCACTCCCCAGGGAAGTGCTCCCGGCTCTGCATCTGACATCTGAGTCTGGAGAAAGCACGGGGCATGGCGGGCTGAGCCAGGCAGGCTCTGTCTCCCCCTCCCAGAGGCGGTCACGGCCTGTAAACTCGAACCGCCAGGTTGATGCCAGGTTGGACTTGGGATCCGAACTGGGCTGGGCCAGGACGCTGTACAGGGCCCAGCGATGCCACTGCTCCTCACACACCCTAGTGTCAGTCCTGCTGGGGTCTGTGCCGTCAGCAGCGGTTGTCTTGCAAGCTGGAGAGGTGCCATGAAGTGCAGTATTTCTGGCAGGCTTAAGTGACATGTCACTGTGGGGAAGTGTACGTCACCCCTCTGCTGTGGGCTTCCGTGTTTGTGTGAAGAGTTGTCTCATCAGCCGTGAACTGGGTGCTTCACACATGCTAGCCATGCGCGCCAGGCTGCCATCACCTGCCATTTGCTTCTCCCTCCCAGAGTCCGGCGAGAGCCTGGCGAGCGACTTCCTGTACTCTGACGTGTGTCGGGTGGAGACAGGGGGCAACTGCTCCTCCCTGGAGCCCGGGGAAGGTAGGACCTCCCGCGTGGCCCCCTCTTAGATGAGCAGGCGGTGCTAGAAGCAGATAAGAGCAGCATCCAGCCGGGAGCAGGAAGGGGGGCGGGGGGGGGAGTAGCTGGTAGCTGCTCAGTGGGTCGTTCCTGTGTTCGGTGAGGCCCGCTCTTGCCTGCGGCTGTGGCGTCCTGTCCACACAGTGATGAGGGAGGCAGCTGGGCAAACAGGGACTCCCGGGAGGAAGCTGCCGGCTGCGACTGGCAGTGTGTGCGGGGGAAGGGTCACCCTGGTGTCACCTAAGCTGAAGCGGAGGAGCCATGGCCAAGGAGGAAGGTGGAGTTGCAGGTGCAGGCAGCAGCGTATCCGAAGGCTTCGTCCATAGCTGGGATGAGAACTGAGGACCCCGAGGAGACAGGCGGCGTCTTGGAGCGCACAGGGAAGGGCAGCACTTCCCAGGCTCGGGAGGCAGTGGTGCGAACAGAATGGCCTCAGGCGGCCTTGCTTTCAAGGGAGACGTTTGACCCTGGGCCTGGCAGGCAGCTGGTGATGGCGCACGGGGAGGTGGGGGGTGCTTCCGGCCCGGCCCGCAGTCCTGCGGCACGTGGGGGTGTCCTTGCCGCCTCTGAGCCGTGACTGCCGTGTTGCAGAGCTCATCCCCGTCGGGGAGACGGAGCAGGACGAGGAGCACACGTGCGAGACGCTGCTGATGTGCATCGTCACTGTGCTGAGCCACGGGCTGCGGAGTGGGGGCGGCGTGGGCGACGTGCTCAGGAAGCCGTCCAAAGAGGTATCCTCGGCCCCAGGGGAGGGCGGGGTGGGGCCAGCAGGGGCTGACAGACGCAGGGGCTGGCGGAACCTGCAGGTCGGGGCTTCTCCTGTCCCTGCACCACGTGCAGTCCACACAGGGCGGGGTGGGGGGTAGCTGCAGACTTCGTGGCCCTTCGGGGCGACCCCATTTCTACGGTCCTCCCAGGTGAGTCCTGTGCACCTGGGGAGTTCAAATGCAGGCCGAGGTGTGAAAAGAGGCACTGAGACCGTTTTCAAAGTGTCACCTGCTCTAAAACCCGTCTGTGTTGACAGTGGTGCCCTGGGGTGGGCAGGCGTGAGGGTGCCCCCCCCCAGCGCATACCCCCCCTCGCCCTCCCAGGAGCCCCTCTTTGCCGCGAGAGTGATCTACGACCTCCTGTTCTTCTTCATGGTCATCATCATCGTCCTCAACCTGATTTTCGGGGTCATCATTGACACCTTTGCCGACCTGAGGAGCGAGAAGCAGAAGAAAGAGGAGATCTTGAAGACCACCTGCTTCATCTGCGGTCAGTGTGTGCGTGCTGCTGCTCCCACCCCTCCCGTCCCTGCCTGGCACGCAGTAGGCCATCGCCTCTGCTCTGGCAGGGCTGACGGCTCTGGGCAGCTTGCTCTCAGGAGCGACGTGACCACGCAAGTTCAGAACCAGTGCCTCACAGGCCGGCCGGCCCGCCAGTGGGCAGCCTGAGCGTGCCTTGCCCTGTTCTCAGAGAACTGCAGGGGCGAGCTCTCCTCCAGCCCTGGCCTGCGCATCAGGCCTGCATGGACAAGATGAGGCCCCGGAGCTGGTTGTAGAGTTGAGAGCTGGTGCTCAGGCAGCAGCCCCGGGTCCTGACGGCTCCCGCCCTGCGTGGCCACGTGGCCGCGGGTCTGTCACTTGCCTTCTCTGACCGTTTTCCTCGCCTGTAGCACAGGTGCAGTAGGAGACACTTCGCATTCTCGTGAGAATTAGGGCCAGAGAACTTAGTAACAGTCGTAGCGTAGAGCTACAGGAACACCCGTGGTCACCTGGAATGCCAGCGTGCAAGTAGACGCAGGCCAGCTGGGTGGCGAGCTAGGCGCCGGGTGGTCATTTCAGGATTACTCAGGACGTAGTCAGTACATGGAGGAGTTCCTTCTTGGTATGTGCATTTTCAGATGAGCATGTTCCACTTCCAGACTTAAATCCTGTCCTCTTTGGCCCCTGTGAAAGCTTTCCAAGCATTCTGCTGGGGATTTCAGGTTGCAGGGCAGGCGGGGGCAGCGTGAGGCGTCTGTGCCCGCGCCCTCGGCTCCCCGGACTCCGGCCCTGGCGTCTTGGCTTTGTCGTGCCCGTGCTCTGTGTGTCTGAGCAGTCTGAGTGTGAGCGGCGCACATGACGCCGTTTACATCTTCTCACGTGTGCACAGTGCAGCTGTCGCCGCCGGGAAACTGACACGGGCTCGGGACTAGCGTCTGAGCCGCAGGCCTCACTCCCACGTCTCCCTCACCCAGCCGTCCTCTCACAGCCCCCATGGGCACGGGGGCGAGCTCAGGGGCTGCGCTGTGCCCTGATGTTGGGCGCATTGGAGTTTGCTCGTGGTGGCAGAGGGCAGAGTGTTTCCTGTAGGAATGCGCTGGGCCTGTTGTGCGTTCTGTGGAGAGGCCCGGGACGCCAGCCCACCTCACACCTGGTGATGCCACCTTGGGGAGGGTCTGACGCCAGGCCTGCACTGGGACGTGACTTGGGGTGGGGAGAGGGATCTGTGGGCGCCCCGAACGCTTGCTGTTGCCAGTGCTGAACTTGCTCGCTGCAGTCGGCATCCATCTGTGACTCGGCTGTCGACTAACGATGCTTATGGCGCATTGTTCCTCCTGCAGTTGTTAGCTGGCTTTTTATTTTAAGGAAAAACGTCGTTGTTTGCATTTGTAACAGCATGGACTCACGGGATTCTGCTTTATTTCGTTGGTTCTGATCCAGTGCTGACGTAATTTGTTGTCTCAGACCACACTCAGTATGGCCGTGAGAGCCCCTCCATCTCATGTCCTGCCACCGTCATTTTCTGTGACTTGCTTGCTTTTTGGGCCAAGACAGTCCCAGCCCAGACTCTCCTCTCACCTTTGGTGACCCAGCCCGCCTGGGACCTGGGTGCCAGGTGTGCCGGCACCGCCAGGGCTTGCGAGGGCCCCAGCCGGGGGCAGAGGCCTGTGTGTGCATGTGTGTGTGTGTTCACACACACCTGTGTTAACGTTGTGTCTGTGTGTGCATGTGGACAAGGTGAGTTCATGTCAATGGCTCCAGTGCCAGTCCCTGACGTGCTGCCGTGCGCCTCTCAGGAGGGGAGGAGTCTGTGTGTGTTATCCACGGTATGTCTGTGTGCTTGCTCGGTCCTAGAGAGGGTGGGAACTCACTTCAGGGTCGCTCAGCAGGCCTCTGCAAGAGATAAACCCGCCAGGTAGAGTCCCAGGCGTTCCCCGCGTCTGTCTGGGCGGGCAGCAGGAGCGGGGAGCCGGCCTTCTCTGGTTGCCTGCCAGGTGGCAGGCTTCTCACTGGCTGACAGCTGAGGCAGGCAGGGGTGACGCAGCACCTGGTGAGTGGCAGAGGTGGGAGTCGGCCTCCAGCCAAACGGACTTGCCTGTTGTCATGGCGCCGTGCGGACAGGGATGCGTTTGTGAGGCCAGCAGAGCCCACGTGGTCGTAAAGCGGGAGGGAGACCGTGGCCGCCTCCTGTGGGCGGTGCCGAGGGCGTGGTTTCTGTGCCCGGGCTGCTCACGTGGGGCCTCGGGTTTTGTGTGTCTTTAGGCCTGGAAAGAGACAAGTTTGACAATAAGACGGTCACTTTCGAGGAGCACATCAAAGAGGAGCACAACATGTGGCACTACCTGTGCTTCATCGTCCTGGTGAAGGTGAAGGACTCCACCGAGTACACGGGGCCCGAGAGCTACGTGGCCGAGATGATCAAGGTGAGTGGGAGCGGCCACCCGGCGCAGGTGTGGGCACGGCCATTTCTGCTCGGCTCAGAGCGTGGTCCCGGCGCCGAGGGCAGCTTCAAGGTGGAAACAGGCCCTTCCCAGGGGGTGGTACTGCCCCCTGACCTCCGGGTGCTGGGCCAGGTGACCCTGAGACCCACCAGGCAGCTGCAGTCAGCCCTGTCTGGCCCAGCGAGATCCGCCCTGGAGCGTGAGCGGGGCCTGGAGGAAGCCACCTGCCCTCCTCAGGCCAGGCTGCATTTCTCCTCCTGACGCCCCCACGCTGTTCTGCATCTACCAGCGTCTACCAGCGCAGGTGCGAGTTGGCCTCCCCCAGCACTGGTCAGCGTGGCCTCCACCATGCGTCCCACAGGCACTTTGTGACTCCTAGGAAGAGACCCTGTGCTGGAGGAGCCAAGTCCCACTTCATCTTCCTGTTGGGGGGCGGGGTGCCTGCGGGCTGCCAGCCCCTCGCCTGGGGTTCTGGGAAGGCAGCCAGCGTGTGCTGGCACGTCCCAGACCGGGTGCCTCTGAGTTCCTTGCACGTGATGCAGTGGGAGGCATGAGCACCAGCGCACCCTGGGCAAGGTGGGCGTGAGCTTCCAAGAAGGCCGCGGTGATTCACTGCCTCCGCTTCCTCCCGCTGCCCTGGACGGGAGTGCTCGTCAGGCTTCCCCGAGCCAGCCCTTCCGCGTGTCCATGCCCAGGAGAGTCTCTCCAGGCTTGTCCTGCCGTGCTCCCTGAGGCCAGGTGTGTTCCTGTAAGTGTCGCCATTCACGTGCCAGGTGCAGGAGTGTGTCTCATGCCCTGCCTGCAGTCCCGTTGTCAGCCGGGCCCCCGTCTGGTTGTGTGCGACTCAGCTGTTAGCAGCTGTGTGGGTCATCCGGGAGCCTTGTGAAAATTCACGTCCTGGCTCAGAGTCTGCAGCAGCCGTGGGTGCCTGCATCCCCTTTGAGAAGTAAGGCCAGGCCCGTTAGGTGCGAGCGTAGAAGTCGTCCTGACTCTGTCTGTGTGTTCAGTCCTCTTCTGCTTCTGAAATTCTTTGCCGTCCAGTCCTGTAGCCGCCATTAGGACCAGGTAGGGACCAGAGAAAGAAGAGAGCGTGCACCCGACTGACTCGCAAGGGGGCGGAATGGGGAGGTGACGACACGGAGCCTGAGAGCAGCGGAGGGGAGACAGAGATGCCGTCTGCAATGAGATGGCCGCTGGGAGCAGCTCGGCGGGGCCGAGCCAGGGAGCGGGGCTGACGCCAGGACTTAGGCCCTGGGAGCTGTGCTGCTGATCTGGGCCCCTGGTTGTCACAGGCGCCCGTGGCAGTCCTGGGGCCCTTCCTGCCTCTGCATGTCCCCTGGTGCCAGGTTAGTGCCTGGCTGTGCAGTCACAGCCCGGCCACTCTGTGGGTCACAGAGACTACAGGAAGTCCTGTGAGTGGTCACCTGATGAGGATTACGGACCCGGTGACCTGTGTCCTGCCCCGGACCCAGCCAGGCCACCAGCACCCTGTCCTTCCCCATCGGCCTCATTCACCAATTGTCTGAGACTTACTAAGAGAAAGCCCCAAACCAGTAGCGTATTCTGAACTCTGAATGTCACAGTTGCCAAGCAGCTCAGGGAAGCGTGACACACAACTCCGCCCAGCCAGAAGCAGGGCGTGACCCTTGCCAGGACTCGTCCAGGATCCTGTGATACCAGCGTGCAGGCTGCGTGAGCCTTAGCATAGTGGCAAAGCATTTGCAGTTCACCCATGCGTAGGCTCCCTTGGGCTGTAAACACTCTTGGTGACTTGTGGTGCGCAGTGCAGCCTGAGCGCCATGCACGGAGCTGTTAGACGCTGCCCTGCGAGGGAACAGTCTGCTCCTGTTCAGTACACAGTTTGTTAAAAATATCCTCCATCCACGGTTGGTTAAATCCGCACAAGAGGAACCCAAGAAAGGACATGGAGGGCAGTCGCAGGCATCTAGGCCTGGAGCCACAGGAGTCCCTACCAGGTGCCTAAAGAGAGTTCCACCCACAGCGGGGCAGGGAGGGGCTTGGGTGCTCATCTGACTCCTGCAGCAGGGCCAGAGCCCCAGGGGTCCACAGAGCTGCGGCGGAGCTCGACTTGGACCCTGCCTGGAGTGCCCCTGGGAAACAGAGCGGCCGGGTCTCCCGGGCCTTCTTGCCAAGGGGGAGACCTCCCACCCACCGCTTCTGCAGATGCAAGTCCAGCCATCGTTCTGTGGAGGGAGGGGCCTGCCTGTACCCGTGCCCCAGGTGGGCAGTGCTGGCACACACACTCTCCCTGGTTCCTTCTGGAGCTGTCCTGCCGCCGTGGTGACAGCTCTTCTCTCTCCCGCTGGAGATGGTGTGTTTCTCGCCGGCCCTGAAGGAACTCCCAAGAACCCCTCGGGCCCTGCTGTGGGTGCGGTGGCTGCTGTCTGTGCAGACCCCACGGAACGTGCAGTCTCCTCTACGCTCTGCTTTCACGGGAGGTGGGACATCTCTGGGAAGCCAGCCTGGTGCCCACCAGTGTGAAGTGTGAGGTTCAGCCCTGCTCCCTCCTGGCCCGTCAACCTGGGCAGATGGGATGTTGCTGACCGAAGTGCCCCATGTGCACACTCGTGGGTGGGACACGTGAGAGCCACGAGTGAGACCTGGTGGGTAAAACGTACTGGAGTCCAGTCGTGGATTGAGAATACTCTGAGCAAAACCATGTGCTGAACAGGAACAGACTTCCTTCCTCCTCATTGTTCCCTGAGCACCTGCAGGCAGGTGTTTGCATAGCATTTCCATTGCAGTGGGTAGTCCTGCCATCTGGAGAGGAGCAAGGTCGCCGAGAGGTGCTGGGCTGGGTGCAGGTGCAGCCAGCCGGGGCCTGGCAGTGGCCTTGGCAGCGGTGGCGTTTCCTGTAGCTCCAGGACCACGAGAGGCCCAGGCCCTCAGACATGAGATGGCCATCTCAACCCTAAGAACTTCCTCCTGTGGAAAATCCCTCTGTCTTCCTCTCTCGAAACTATAAATCTTTCGGTGACCTTAACTTTTGAGGTTACAGTTCTTTCTCTGGTGAGTTGGTCGCAGATTCTTGTAAAGTCCAGCCACAGGTTTTGTTTTGCTTTCATGGCCCAGTTATGGCCTCATTCGGTTTTGGGAGCAGGAGCCTGCGTTCAGCGGATCACAGCCGAACCGTCGCGGATATCGTGAGATTACACTTGGGTCCCTGGCAGCTCTGTGCCTTGGCCCAGGCACCTGCTGGCGGGCGGTGCTGGGACTCGCAGGCCAGAGGAACTATAATGTAGAGTGCCGGGAGGACACTGGACACAGGACGAGCGCAGCCTCGCGCTGCTCATTCAGGCCCCAGCCGGCTGCACTCCCAGAGCACTGTCACTGTCGGCTGACCACGCCTGACCCCGGCTTTCAGGAGAAAACCCTCTCCTTTTCCCGCAGGGACTTGGATCTTGGTGCTGTCGGAGTTTTGCTGATAGCCTTTTGCAGTGAGCATGCGTCGCTCAACCTTGATAGGCACGTACACTTTCACAGTAACGGATGTGTCGCTCAGCCCTTTTTTGAGGGATTTTAGCACTGTTTGGCTGCATTTCTCCTGCTGTAGATGACAACTTAAAGGGATGTATTTGTGTGAATACGTAGGAAATTCATCCTGAGTGCTGAGGGTTTGGACACCGCACCAGCAGGGGCGCGGTGCAGGCCAGAGCAAGGGCGCAGCTGTGCAGGTCCAGGGCAGGAGGCTGTCGTCCTCAAAAGCTACAAACTCGGGAAACTGAAAGGGGAGGCTGCTGAAGATGAATCGGTAACTGAAACCTAAGGCCTCTCTTTGGCGAACGAAATACAGACTTCATTTCCAGCCCATGGACTTCTGCCTCGCTGCCCTGAGTCTGGAACGACACACATAAGGCAGGGGATCGGGTAGACGGCTGGCCGCCCACACTGCAGGCCCCCGGGAGCTCAGGCTGCTCCGTGGCTTGTCTTTGCTGGGACAGCACGTTCACCAACTGCTCACACGGAGGGTAAGACGGGGGGAGAGCCTACTGCACCGTAGGGGCCGAGCAGCCGAGAGTGCACCAGCGTGCAGTTTTAGAAGGAGCAGGCTGAGCTGACTGGATGTTAGCTGGTAAGAGGTTGTGTTCAGGTTCTCCGTGTGGAATAATCCCCTTAGCTGTCACTGCAGTATAGTTGGCAGCGCTCTCGGCATTCATACCAACAGGTCATACAGGCCACACAGCCGGAGCAGAGGGGCTGCGTCAGAGCCTGACCACACGTGCAGGTGTGGCCGCCAGCAGGGTGGCCTCCGTGGAGGCACTCGCAGCCCTCCCTGTCACACGCTGCGGCCACTGGTCCGGCTGCATCTGGCTTTTCTGACCAGGCTGGCTCATCCCCTCGCCCCCACCCCCCCCCAGCAGTGCTGGAGCTGCTGACTGTGGAGGAGGTCAGCTGAGAAAGGCCGCACGGGGCAGGGAGCAGAGGGAAGAGCTAAGCTGGAAATCAGCAGGACAGCCCCGTGGCGAGGTGTTGAATCCTGGTGGATGAGGGTTTCGTTCTCAGCTCTGCCCCCAGCACAGCGCCACTCCTAAAAGTGCACGAGAAGTGGAATTAAAAGATGTGTATTTTGGTGCAAAAAATGATTTAAACCCATGCATGGTTTTTTCTCAATATGCATTTCCATCAGCTGCCTGAAGACCTCGTACGCATGAATTTCAAACATTTTCTGACCAAAATAAACATCTCTGAGTTGCATTATGCAGCAGCCGTTGCGAAGTCTCCTCATGCTGCAGAGGGTGGTGGAAAGGGCGTGAGCGCTCCTGAGAGTGGCTCGTGAGTGCCTGTTCACCTGAGGTTGCTGAAGTCAGGTAACTGCTGGGCCCTCACCTAAGCCTGACACGGGCGGCCTGTCTCTGCCCGCCAGACTGCGGGAGAGGGAGCGGCTGTCTGTCACAGGGCAAGGGACTCAGCAGAGCCTTAGCCAGATAGCAGCTCCACAGCCCTGTGACTCATCACGACAG